TGTGCTCTAGAACACAAAACACCCGGAAATGTCCACAGCCAGGGTGAGGGGTATCAAAAAGCAGTGCAGGAAGTAGGGACAGGGAGATGAGGAGATGAAGAGTGAGGTGGAGTCATCCCAGCTCAGATGTATCGAGAGATGCATGTGATTCCTTCCAGTGTCATGGACCGGAGAGAGAGCTGGCTCCATCTTGACTTCCTCAAGGAACTAGGTCAGAGGGTGGGATGGCAAAGAGACAATTAGAGCAGATGGCCCCCTGGTTGAAAATCGTCCAGAGACTTGGGGGTTCAGGGCCAGGGAGAAGAGGGCGTGATGTTTTCTATGCTCTTTCCAGGTTGCGGCTCAGCAGCAGGAGTCAGCTTCGACCCAGAAGGCGGAGCGGGAGGTGAGCCAAATGGTGGTGGTCATGGTGGGATCCTTTTGTCTCTGTTACACTCCTTACGCAGCCCTGGCCATGTATATAGTCAACAACCGTAACCATGGGATAGACTTACGGCTTGTCACCATCCCGGCCTTCTTCTCCAAGAGTGCTTGTGTCTACAATCCCATCATCTACTGCTTCATGAATAAGCAGGTAAAGTTCTCCTTTTAAAAAATTTGTTTTTGGCTGTTCTGAGTCTTTGTTGCTGCCCACAGGCTTTCTCTAGTTGTGGTGAGCAGGGGGCTTCTCACTGCGGTCACGTCTCTTGTTGTGGAGCACAGGTTCTAGGCTCGGGCTTCAGTAGTTGTGGCATGTGGGTTTAGTTGCTTTGCCTACCCCAAATCCTGAATTGAAGCTAATAACCCAAACTCAGACAAATCAAGGAGGGTTCCTGTCTTACAGAGCAAAACTCTGAGAATTATTTTGTTTCCTCAGTTCCAGAAGTGGATTAAAAACTAATGAGGAAGCTCCTGGATATTAACAGAACTGGCAGTCCTTTCCTAGTTGGGAGCACTTTCTAGTAACGGTGGGTGGGCGGGGGAACTGCAGGGTCACTTTGGACAGTGCTCTCATGGCTACCCACTCCAGTATTCTTGGGTTTCTTGTGGCTCAGCTGGTAAAGAATCCGCCTGCAATGTGGGAGACCTGGGTTTGATCCCTGGGTTGGGAAGATCCCCTGGAGAAGGGAAAGGCTACCTACTCTAGTAATTCTGGCCTGGAGAATTTCATGGCCTGTATAGTCCATGGGGTTGCAAAGGGTCACACACAACTGAGTGACTTTCACTTTCACGGGACAGGGTGCTTTGTAAGGTTTCCCAGCAGTGAGGCCTCGGGGTTAGCCAGAACGTGTAGGGATCACTATTGTAGATCCAGGAAGAGTTAGTAGTGTTAGCCTGGAATAGCCAGCTCTCAGGATTGAGAAGACACGATCAACACCGCTCAAGGAGATCCCACGTGTAAGACACTGAGAGAGGCTACGGGGATACAAAGATCTTTTCTCCCATGCTTCCTGATGTTACCTCCTCTGTACTCGTCTGCCAAGGGGACTGTCTCTGCTCTTTCCCTATAGTTCCGAGCTTGCATCATGGAGATGGTGTGTGGAAAACCCATGACAGATGAGTCTGAAGTATCGAGCTCCCAGAAAACCGAAGTGTCTACTGTCTCTTCTAGCCAAGTTGGCCCCAACTAATGAGCCATACTGGCCTGTGTGCAGTAAGGACTTTACATTTGAGGACATTTCTACTTTCTCTGTCAAAAACCAAACCACTATCAACACAGAAAATGGGAAGGGGAGTGATAGCAACTTGAGGGCTCAGTTTTCCATTTTCCTACTATTTCCTTCCTACCTACAAAGCAACTGTTCCAGCTGGGTCTACTCCAGATCACCTCAAGGGCCATTTCCACAGTCATCAGTTTCTACTCTTAAGTGGCACAATTTATAGCGTTTGGGGAACAGATTTCTACGTACAAGGCAATTGTAAAGGAGTATGGCTCATTTTTCAGTGTACAGACAATTATTTTCCTTTTCAGTAATTTTTTTCCCTCCTGGGGATCCGTTCAAAGATGATACATTTTGAATCAGAACTTAGGAAAACACCTTAGAAATGAGACATTAAAAAAAAAATTTTTTTTAAACCCTTTAGTAGGTCCTAAATACGAGTTTGGAAGAACTTTCTTACGCTGTCACTGCCAGTAATCGCTATCACTTTGACAGCAACAGTCATGCCCATAAATGCCTGCACCAGCATGAATTATTCCAGGTGCTTCCTCCCCGCTGTCCCTACACCTCATCTTTGGCTAAACCGATTTATCTGTCTTAAGCTGTGTATTTACTAAAGTCAATATTTCAACTCCCATCATGTTCTCAAAATGAATTGGCACATCTCAATACTGTTTATAAACTATACAAAATATTCAAAAAAGTTTTACCTTATATTCCGTCTCCCCACCCCCTGGAAGAAGAGTCTTTTTGAAATAAAAATCAAGATAAATGTGTGTACATTCAGAAATGGCTGTGTTTGGTATCAGACAATTATGTAATGAGCAGCTGGGCTCCTCTCCAGTTATATGGCCTAAGAGAAGCAGAGAAGGGTTACAGCTGTGTAAGGATGCTAGAAGATTTCAGGAATAGGAAGGAAAGAGTAATCAAATTGGGAGAAGGTAGCAAGTTCTCTGGGTTGGGGTAGGGTAAACCTTCTAGGAGAACTCCATTTTCTGTGACATTTTATAACCCTATAATTCTAAGCAAGAGTTCCATTTCTTAAGAAAATAAAGGACACACATACCCTTCAGTGAATGTAAACAGTTTTATTTAGAAACAGATAGGTACCTGTTTGCATTATAGAATATAAAACTTGGTTTACACTCTATAAAAAATAATAACCAGTATCCAAATTCAAGACAGCTAGCATTCACAGAACACACAATGTGGGTGTGTAGCTACTGTTCACCAGCCTCAGGCTTGATTTAAACCAAAAAAAACAAAAGAAAAAGAAAAAAATCCAGGAGGGTCATTAGACATTAGAATACAAATGATAATTGATGAGCACCCAGCATCCAGAAGTCGCTATCTTAGCAGATGGAGGTTTGCTTTCTAGGTGCATGACTTTAACACAAGGCCTGGGTTCTCTGTACCTAGTGACCTGCAAGGCTCTCCTGCCACACAATTTGTGCTGTGCCCTCTCCAAGCCAGGGTTGGTGGCATTAGTATTTATCCCTGGTCTTCTTAACAATACAAATGGGGAATCTGGAAGGAAGAGAATTTCCATTTCCTTATACTGGGGTTCAAAGAATGTATCCACTCTCAAGAGCTCAATGCAAAGGTCAGGGTGGAGTTACATGATATCTGGCTTTTTACCAGGCCAAGTAGCCCACCTTAACATGATTGTGGAAGACCAAAGGATACATCTAGGTTCAGATTATAATAATCACCCAGCACCACCTGAATGTATTATCCAGAAAGATATATGAAATAATAAAGGTTATATATATATATATATATATTTGTCTTAGTAACCTGAGGGCTAAAAACTTGGAATACATAATTCTTCTCAAAAGAGGTCCATGTGTATGAAAGGGACCAAAAAAAAAGGCAGTTTCTTGTTATGTAAAATATAGGTGAGTTGGGAACAGAGGTGATTTCTTTAGCTCTTTCTACAATGTCCCTCTCTTTGATAAGGACTGGCAATGTTGATCCATGATAAACGTTTTTTGGCAGCAGGGAGATGGGGACATAGGAAGGGATGGGTCAAAGGCAGGAAGGGTGAGCAACGGTCCTCAAACCAAAGAGCCCTCTCATCTCTGAGCCTTAGCTCTGCCTCCTCAGCTGACACAGAAACAGGCCTGGTAATAAGTGGTTAGCATTCTGAGGTATGAGGATCCCTGGTAAATTCAGCAGCATGTGGTTTTCAGAAATCAGCCCACAAAGTAAGAACACTGCAACCAAGCCCCTAACTAATACTGCTATTGAACCACTGTCCAAAAGAGAAAGGGAAGAAAAAAATCCCCACCACAACAGGAGGTTCTAAGCTTTAAGGTGGTCCAAATCATCTCCTTTATCTTAGGGTTTCTTAAGAGAATCCTCATTCAGTGACCGTTTCTCTCATTAAAGGCACTTTCAATGACATGATAGGAAAGGAGCACATTTTGACTGCAGTGAAAGCAAGATTAGTTCCTTGGAACACCTGGGGAAACAGGAGCTGAATGGGGCACTTACTGATTGAATAAAGACAGGCTTGAGCACTTCAATAGATGCACACCCAGAAAAAATCATGTGCCCTAAGAACACTTGGATTTTTTCTTTAGTTTTCCAGCTGTTTCTATTTATATCTCTGTAAAGAGATCACACTCACTACTTGATTGATATTCAAGACACTGGCCCCAACTTTTCCCACCACAGCTGTGCTTGACAAAATTAGCAAACAGCTAGTCCTACAGGGAAGGGGAGGGAAAAAAAAGGATGAATGAAGTCAAGTTGAGTCAAGCTTTCTTATAGCACAGGGATCTGTCTTTGCCCAGATAACGCTAGGATCTGGACATGAAGCAACTGAATAGAACATGGGGCCCCTACTACTTATGAAATACACTTTTCAATAGGCAAGTTTAAGTGTTATCTCTCTAAATAGAAATTGTGGGGAATATTTCTTCCCTTTTCTCTCTCCTGAACATTTCTTATTGATCTCAGGCTTAAACTTAAGTCAAAATTATAAAAAAAATTACACGGTAAGGGTTGAGAAAGAGTGAAGGGCTAATGTTTGCCTACAAGTGTAAGTTGAGGATGTTGATCCTTCATATCATACTCCCAACCAGAGAACAAATACAAAAATAAACACACATGTTATACATAATACAAAGTGTAAATCTACAAACACAAGTGTACTAATTAGAGTTGTTCCTCAGAAGCACGGTTTCCCTCCTGTCCCTCAGAGAGGAGGAGGCATGGGGACGGGATCATTTCTGTTACAACTTTTCATGTCTTAAAAAGTTTGTAATAACAGTCTCAGTAGCGCAATTTCATGTGAAACCAGAAGCTGTAAAAATAAATTACTTTTGAAGAAATGTGGGTTCCTCTGTCTGGAGCTCAGAACTCATCATGTCGTACTAAGGCCTCACCAAAATCTGTGGCCTGGCTGCCCACAAATAAATCATACTTGTCAACAATCTCCTCCTTGGTAAGCTTGCCATCCTGAAAGCAGAAAGAACAGTGAACTGAGGCAAAATAAAGTTCCCATTTCAAATTTAGAAACACTGCTATCATATAATAGGGGATCTAAGACTTGCCAAGGTTTAAGATTCTAATTCTAATTTAATTCTAATTAAATCTGAACTCAGTTCTCATGGCCCATCCCCAATACACACATATACACACAGGGAAGAAAAGAGCAATTAATCTATTTCCTTATCAAGAAAGTTAAAAGGATGAAAATAATACAGCTGAATAGGTCAATGCCAGCAGTATGGGTTTATTTCTTGGGAAGAAAATGCCCCCTTTTCAGCAAAATGTGGGACACCTCCCAGATATGGGTAAGAGATAGTTAACAAGAGCCAGGAAAAATACTTCAAAGTCAATCAAGTCACTGTCTAACAGGGACAATGAAATCTGTTACTATCAAGCATAGTTTTCAATTCCAAAATGCCCTAGCTACCAATCAGATTCCAGACAGAACCCCTAATGGAGGTCCAGATCTTATCTCAAGAATTATCTAGGCCAGATTCCCAAGGGATGACTATATGAGTTTTTTTCCTCATGTCTCAGCACCTGGCTACTGAAGAGACTGAGCAAGAACTCAAAACAGATTGACCCTTAAAAAGGGTCAATGATAAGAAACTACATAAAAACCAAAGATTAAATAAAAGAACATCAGAATTCTAAAATTCCCCATAGACTGATTTTCAGTCTGCTTTAAGGACAGCATTCTCTGAAAAAGGTGACAGGACTCAGTAGTAACCAATGCTGTCTGAGATAACTGGTCAAGGACTGATGCTGAAGCTCCAATACTTTGACCACCTGATGTGAAGATCGAACTCATCGGAAAAAACCCTGATGCTGGGAAAGACTGAAGGCAGGAGAAGGGGACGACAGAGGATGAGAAGGTTGGATGGCATCACTGACTCGATGGATATGAGTTTGAGCAAGCTCTGGGAGGTGGTGATGGACAGGGAAGCCTGGCGTGCTGCAGTCCACAGGGTCACAGAGAGTCAGATACAACTGAGTGACTAACTGAATTATAATAGAGAAAAAATGATTTATAAGCTACAACAAGCATGCTTAATTTAAGAAGGAAATAATCAGCTTTGAGTAGGCAAAGTGAGCCTGTAAAAGGTAAAAGAACAAAGGAAATAACAACAAAAAGGCAAAGAAAATTTCCTGGAGTTCCAAAGATAGTAGATGAAGCATGCTGGGCACAGGCTATATCCAGAGGCTCTTGCTGAGGCCTAAATTCCTCCAATGCTAAGAACATTGGGCAAAGGGATTTCTAAAATGAGAGATCACAGAGCTAGTGCTGCCCTGTAAGTTTCAGTCGCCAACTTAACTCCACAGCAGACTTAGACTAATTAAAATCTTACATGCTCTATGTACGTTAATAGGAATTTTTTAAGCAATCCCCTAGAGACAGACTTGGACCACTGCTAGATTGCTTGGGCCTGGTCAGACTTACCTTGTTTTGGTCTGATTCATAGACCAGGTGCCTGGCTTCTGCCTCAGCATGGTCATAATCTGAGGGGAGTATCCAGTCTTTGGTCTCTTCCTTATCCATCTTCCCATCACGGTTCTTATCTCGAAACTCAACAAACTGTTCTCTCTCCGTCTTGACCCACTCTGGCTCATCAGCGTTTCCGTCGTGGCTGTACATATCACCTGTATGAACAGATATCCATACATAAGATGGGTGTGTCTTCTCTCAAAGCCTGCCCCATGCAAATCTGATGACCTTTCTTCCTCACTCGTTAGTTTGGAACCTCACAGAAGTTATATGGGTATTTTAGGTTGGAGAGACTTTATGAAGTAAGGCATTTTCCTGATGATCTTGCAGAAAGAATATTTCAAGCTCTTGGTCTTGAATGATATAAGCAAAGAATACTGTTTTAAAAAAAGGCAGAAACTGGGGTTTTCAGGTGGTCCACTAGTTAGGAGTCCATCTACCAATGCAGGGGACATGGGTTTGACCCCTGAGATCCCATGTGCTACTACGGGGGAACTAAGCCTGAGAGCCGAGCTGCTGAAGCCCGCTTGCCTGAAGTCCGTGTTCCGCAGTGGGAGGAGAAGCACCAGTGAGAAGCCCGTGCACTGTGACTAGAGGGCCTGCGCACAGCCCTGAGGACTCAGCACAGCCATAAATAAATGTTTTTCTTTTTTTTTTTTTTTGCACCCACCTCTACCTCCCTCCTCAATAAATGTTTTTCAAAGTGCAGAAACAGAGGGAGATGACTAGCGTCAAGAAAGGTGAAGACCAACTTTCATAAGACAGCTGTTCCCTGTGTTCCACTTCACTACAAGGAAGCTAATTAACCTGACCACTAGTTTTAGAAAGATGTGGCTGTAAATCCTCAGGAAAACCTGAGAGATGTAAAAGTGTCTGTAAATGTAAAACAGTCAAACTGTCTACAACCAGTGTCTAAGTATACTTTATAATGTATCTCTTAAAATGATGGGCATTGTCTTATGCTGCTTTCCATCACATGAACTGTGAAACAATTTTGTCAACTACTTGGTAAGAGGCAGCTTTTTTTAAAGCAATGGGAAAATCTTGAAATTATTTTTGAGGATAATAAAAATAACTTTAGGGACTTCCCTGGTGGTCCAGTGGTTCAGATTCCATATTGGGGATGTAGGTTCAATCCCTGACTGGGGAACTAAGATTCCACATGCCAGCAGCGGCAAGGCGGGAAAAAAAAAAAGAAAAAAGCTGTACTTGAGAGAAACTGCCTTGAAGGTACAGCATCTAAAACAAGCAACTGGGAATTCCCTGGCAGTCCAGTGGTTAGGACTCCACATTTTCACTGCCAAGGGTGGGGTTCGATCCCTGGTTGGGGAACTAAGATCCCACAAACTGCATGGCATGGTCAGAAAAAAAAAAAGGACAAAAGGAAACTATGAATAGAATACAGTGACAAGGAAAGACTAAGAGGAATCAACAACTCCTGGTTGCTTATTCACCCAAGTGTCTCTTTTGTTCTGTTCCCTAGTTTCCTAATACAAGTCTAGGTTCCCTACAACTCCTCAATGTCAATTCCATAGGACATCTGGGATGCACTATTTTAGCGCAGTCCACTACAGCAGCCACTGGCCACATCAGGCTATGAGGAAAGGAAATGTGGCTAGTCCCAACTGTGATGTGCTACAATGTAAAATAAACTTTTGAAGACTTGTGTGAAAAAAGAAAAAAAATAACCCTTGATAATGTGGAAACTGTAGTATTTTGGAATATTAGATTAAATAAAATACACTTTTGAAGTAAATTTCATCTGTTTCTTTTCATTGTTTTTGATGTGGCTAATAGAAAAGTTAAAATTACATTTGGGGCTCACATTCACATCTTGATTGGCCAGTGCTACTCAATACTTTATCATGACCCACCATTCCCCATGCTGGTCTGAGTTAATGATGTGCTAAGAGTTGACCCATGGGGTAATTGTTTTTATTGGTGAACATATCTTTCAAAGTTTCCCAGCTTCTTCTAAGAAAAACACTAGAAACAGACTCACCAATATACTCCTCCAGATCAATGAAACCATCAGCATTCTTATCTATATCTTCCATTGTTTCCTGGACAGAAGAGAATAATTAGATCTGATATCTGGATAAATTAGTTCAGACAATAAATTTAGGACAAGTAACTGTGCTTCATTAAAGTAAACACACACATATATATGTGTTTATGTATATATAATCAAGTATGGTTAAACCATAGCAAAACATGTAAGCAACAAAAAGAGAAAGTTTCCATTGAGAATCCTCCCTCTCACCCACCTGTACTACTATATCCTTCATGTAGTCATACTCCTCAGGGTGCAGAAAAGCTGTGAATTCTTCCTTTGTGGCAATGAGGTCTCCATCCTTGTCTGCCATTTTAAACCTCCGCTCGTCTCTAACCATCATCTGCTTATAGTTAAATCCATCATCAGGGTCTGGATCATCTAGGAAACAAAAATTTAGGTAAAATCTTAAAAGACTTCCAGAAAACATGAAAATGTATGGAAATAAATTTCCAAGAACAATAAACCTAGCATGGAAGAATTAACTTGGTTACTCAGGAAAACTACAGCAGTATAAAGACATTCAGGTTTGGTGATCAAAGACTACTAAGTCAGGTCTGAGCTGAATGTAAATTCAACATGGAACCCTGGCTCTTGGACTATGTGATCCATTACATAAATGCTTCATTATTACTGATATTAAGGCTAGTAGAGGGATTCAGTTTTCTAGTTATATCCAAGGGGCAGTGGTAGCTCTAAAGTCACATGGTCTGGGTTTGAATCCTAACTCTACCTCTTCTTAGTCATGTGACCTTGGACGAGTAACTTAACTGTGCTTCAATTTACTCATCTGCAGAATGGAGACAGTAACAGAGTTGGCCTCACAGGATTGTTACGAGGTTAAATAAGCAAATAAATAGAAGTTAAGTGCCTTGAACAGTGCTTGGCACAGAGCTGACTTTTAATACATATTAACTATTGCTGTTTATGAAACATTATTTAAATGTTTATTAAACATTAGGCTCTCATTAAGAAGCCAGATAGCAAAGGTGTTCTATCCCATTACAGGCCATTTGGATTCAATACCAGAACAGAGCCACTCTGAAAGGTCACATTTTAGTTTCTTTGGTAAATTCAGAAACATACCATGAAATACAAGTTCTGTTCACTACCCCCACTTCCTTCATTTTGTAAAATTCTAGAAAATGCAAACAAATCAAGTTACAGAAGGTAGATCAGTGGATGCCATGGGACAGGGCACGAGGAAGGTGAGGACTAAAGGGACCCAAGGAAGCTTCTGGGGGTGATGGGAATATTTAATTACAGTGAGGGGCTCACTGATGCATACACATATGACAAAACTCATCAACTGTGCATTTTAAATATGTGCAGTGCAATAAATTGTATGTCAATGATATTTCAATAAATGTTACAGAAAATAAATATTAGATTACAACCAAATTGAATTTGGACCTATCTGTTAAGATGTTGAACTGCACAAGCAATAGTTATTGTGGCTCAGCTGGTAAACAATCTGCCTGCAATGTGGGAGACCTAGGATCGATTCCTGGGTTGGGAAGATGCCCTATAGAAGGTAAAGGCTACCCATGCCAGTATTCTGGTCTGGAGAATTCCATGAACTGTGTAGTCCTTGGGGTCGCAAAGAGTCGGACACGACTGAGCGACTTTCACTTCACTTCATAAGAATCTAGAAAAATGAACTTTAAGTTGTAAAAATGTGAAGGAGTTAATGGCAAAAAGGGGGAAAAAAACCCAACTTCTCAATCTGAGTTGCTATATGGACCAAAATAAGATAACATGTGAAGATATTTTGAAAAGTAAAAGACACCACATTAAAGGTAAGAAATGACTGTTCTCAAAACATATTGATCAAATAAAAAAGGATATAGCACTAGTTTTTATTAACAAACAAACAAACCCACAGGGCCCCTTACTAACACTACATTATTGACTTTTGATATTGTAGTTCAATCTTTCCATACTTTAAGTACAGTAAAAAAACAACAACAATAAACTACTGCTCTATTTTGATAGAGCTGAGCAACTTGAAGCTTCATTCTTTGATGAGGGTCAAAATTCAATAATACAGTTTACTGATTAAACTGGGGCTTTGGGGACCCTATGTGTATACTCAAAGCCATAATAGATTAGAGACAGAGAATTTAAGGAAAATACTACCTTATTCAGATACTAAGTCATTTCTTCTAAACAAATAATCAGTACAAACTATGTAACATAAATAACAGAAGGCAACTTACATATTAAGAGTAGATTCTTAGCTGAGCCTTTCTTTCCTTAGGTAAAACTTGGTGACTAGGATCACATGCACATATATAAGGATGAAGAAGAAAGCTACAGAACTGTATTTAATGACTAAACTCGCATGCCTATCATCACTGCTCAGAGTGCCCTATCTATCCTAAGCACCAGTTTACTGGGCCAGCTGGCTTGCACACAGTGAAGGGTAGGCTAGTGATCTAGTTTTGGTTTTGGTGTAGGCAGGGCATATCTTAGCATCTCATATTTTACTTGTGGCAGAGATGGGGTTAATGTTCCTTTTGTGGAAAGCAGATATTCATTAAGGCAGACCCTAACTAGAAAATGATTTATACCTTAACTCAACTGAGTCAAGAACACATTTTTACAAAAAACTCCTCAGCACTTTTGGAAGGCGCCTCCTTACCCCAGCACTGTCCACCCCCAGGCCGCCAGGGAAAGATGCCTTATAAAGACATTGTTTCTCCAGCTAGTGCTTCAGCTTATGCAGAGTCTCAGTGAGTAGAAATACTCATTACATTGAATCATTGGCCCTGTGAGGTAACAAAGTTCTCAACAGATTTGTATGCACATAATCATAAAAAGAGTTTAAAACTCCTTCTGGACAGTGAGTGCCTAGGTCTGAGCTGAGATTTATTAACACATCATTCTGTTGAGATCACCAAAAGCCTACCCAGTGCTTTGTATTTATAATTAATTCCAAACAAATCAGGAAGCTCTGGGTCTCAGCCAGAGAGCAAGAAGCATGGGTATCTCTCTATCTGCACTGACTTTTTAATACACATGTTCTTAATTGGGAGAAGGATATGTTTAGTTCTTGGCTAAGTGTCAAGCATGAGAGAGATGGCCACTCTAGTCTCAGGAATGAGAACAAGCCCCATATAGAAATAAAAATCTGTTCACCAGAAATGCATGGAGTCCTGTAATTAACACGGACAGCTGGTTATCCAGTGGGGGGAACAGACCACCATACATTCATTGCCTGTTAGTCAGTGATGGAGAACGCCTGTTTCCACCCAGAAATTTACTTAATTTCCAGAATAAAAACGCAAGAAGTAACATTTATACATTCTTATCTCATCTCAAACTGTGACCACGTACAAAAGAGGACTATCACTAACAAAAACACCCTAAGTCATCAACTCGGTAAGATCGCCACCTAGCATTTAACAGCAGGCAAGTGGAATAAGTAAAAGAAAATTACTAACAGGTGGCCCAAGCATACAAGCTACCAAATCAACAAAAAGCAATCAAAGTCACATTGATTTGCCTCAAAGTATTTGCAAAGCAGGCTAATAAACTCATGTGTCAGAGAAAACAAATGGGAAATACTCATTTCTAAACTTCAGTAAGCAGACATACTGAAATAGTTAAATTTCATCAAGGAAAGCCATTAGATTTGATCTTTACTTTAGCAAGGGAAGACAGTAATTTTCCCCCTATTCTCACCAGTTACAAAGAAATCTAATTTGCTTTAAATTTCAGGTCCAACACGTTAATGTGACCATGTCAAGAGACATCTCAAAGCCTCCTGCTTTGCATTGTTGGAACAATGCAGCCTTTTGAATGAGCATTTACTCCAAAAATGGTCTCTTTGAGGGATGACAGCAAGAAAAAAATGGGGAAATATATCTGAAATGCTAAAAGACATAAAAGATGTCAGACCTTAGAAAATCAAAATAAAACAAATTTTAAAAAATACATAATATACAAATTCAAAATTAATAAAGTGAAGGAGAATCAGCACAGCAAACTAAGATAAGCATAATTTCTTCCTTTCCTTCACTGCTTGACCCATTTGTTTCTTTGACTCAAGACCATGGTCTCCACCAGGCTGACACCTTGCCCCTTACCCAGGTAAGTGCCATAAGTCACGTTTCTGTACTCATCCCAGGAGATTAAGCCGTCTTGATTCAAATCAAACTCCTGCCATTGGTTTTCAACATTGTCATATATGTATTTCTTCTGGGCGTGCTTAATCCAGGATTTCAGCTCCCCCTCCGTCACAAACCCATCTTTATCCGCGTCTATTTTATCTACAATCATTCTACAAGACAAAACAGTTACGTTTCAAGGTGCCGGCTCCACAAGGCTTTTTCCCCCAGAGAGTAGGGACCTACCTAAAACGTAGCCGTAGGTGGCATTTTTATACTCCTCCCAGGAAACGAGGCCGTCCTCATTGAGGTCATGCCCCTTCCACTGCCGCTCTACGTCCTCGTAAATCCAGCGCTTTTGTGCAAATTTAATCCAGTCTTTGAGCTCATCCACAGTGACAAACCCGTCCTTGTCGCCATCTATTTTACTTACAATCTTTCTGTAGAAAATGCAGAGAAATCCAGCAAGAGGTTAAAAGGACACAAGGCTCTGGACTTAGCCAGATGTGTGCTGTGGCCACGGGTGCTGCCCAGGGCTAAAGGATGGAAATAAAAATTGTCTCCAAGACAAAACTGCCAGATGGGCAACTGCAAATTTTTCTCTTGAGTGCCTGTTGCTGGTCTGAAATGAGTCATCCAGAGAAGACAAGCACAGTCCATGGCTGGTGTACTTGGAACCAAAAGCAAACTACGGACTATCCCTTTAGACATAGGTTTCAGCCAGTGGTCAGAATTTTGGGGTGAATATCCTTTCCTATCTGCATTCTCCACTCTTAGTATCAAACAACATGCAAATTTTTATATTTGTTCTTTATTGCTCTTAGGAGAATCTTGATTTCTGGATAAATAATCACAACCACTGACTTGGTTTTCTAAAAATTCAAAAATTGTAACCAGACTTTTAAAACAGTTGTTTTTTTTTTTTTCCAAACCAAAACACTTTTGTTAAAAATATAAAGATATCAAAAACAGTTCCAGGATCACTTATACCTAAAGTCAAGATTTTTTTTTTAAACCCCAAAATAAGTACAGAGACATAAGCATGCTTATACATATTTAAAAAAAACAAAAGGCTAGCAGTTATTATACACTATATTGAATTGGATTTTTACATATAACCACAAAAACAAGAGAGCTCTGAAGAAGTAATGTGATAAGAATGTACATCCTTGATTATGAGAATGTTAATAAGCTGAGAGGGTTAGGGTGCAGATGATAAACCAAACTACAAAGCTCAAGAATGAATATACTTTGCTCTTCATAAGTTTCTTTCTTCCAGCGCTGTCATATTAATGACAGACATTTTTAAAAGACTTACTTAAGGATTTCAAAATATGTGCATGATATGAAAAGTTCTGTTTAAAGATGCAATTGCTTACTTATAGAAGCTAAGACTGCCTAGGTAAAGTCACAAGAACTTTCTTTTTTTTAATTTTACACACCAATTATTTAATGGCCTAAGAGCAGCAACATTCACTGACTACATTCTTTAAGAGAGCCAGGAAAATTCAGGTAAATGCCCCTTGGCCCTTTGTAGGGAGGCTCAAGTCACAAGAACTTTAAATCAAAACTTCTAATGGAATTAACACAGTAAAAGTCCATTATGCATACTTATTTCATCACATGAAATATTTTAGAAAGCATTCAAGGGTCAGAATTAATAAATAATTTTTCTACTGTTACAAAAAAAACCTAATAGAATTGAAATCTTGGGATACTCCTATGCTCTATTATTTGTAGGACTGAAAAAGACTGTCATTTGGTAGCTAATGTCGTTTCCCAGTCTGTGTTCTTCTTATGAATACAACATCGGAAAGTGATTAGAATCAGAGAATATAAGTGACACAAATTCACTTTGATATTGATTGATACAGTGTTAGCCGTGATTGTCTATTACTTAAATCCTGTAATTAACAAGCATTTTCCTTCAGAGTATCTTATAATTTTTACTCTAAAATATTTTTTTAAAAAGGTAAAGCAGTAAGTAAGTGTTAGTCACTCAGTCGTGTCTGACTCATTGCAACCCCATGGACTGTAGCTTGCCAGTCTCCTCTGTCCATGGGATTCTCCAGGCAAGAATACTGGAGTGGATTGTCATTCCCTTCTCCAGGGGATCTTCCCCACCCAGGGATCGAACCTGGATGTCCTGCATTGCAGGCAGACTATGGTCTGAGCTACCAGGGAAGCCCTCTAAAATAGTAAGAAGTCACCTCAAATGTCCTTCTATATCTACATGGACATGGGACAAAAATTTTTTTGCAACCTGAATCTGTAGACTCTTAACAATACTAATAAATTCTTACTCTTTGGGGGGCTGTGCTGTGCAGCATGCAAGGTCTGAGTTCCCTGACCAGGAAGAGAACCCATGCCCCCTGCACTGCAGAGCAACATCTTAACCACAGGAACACCAGCGAAGCCCCAAGAGATGTTCAAAAACCTCTACATTATCTATAATAGAATCCAGTTTGTGTCTGAAAGGCATTGGCTACCAAGAGTTCCACTGTCCTATTAAGAAAAAAAAGAGCAAGGTACTTATTCCAGAAGAAAATTTTAAACTATTATTAATAGCCTAAAGAGAAGGATCACTTAGATAAAAAGGCATATGACTCTTTAAGATGGGCTTTTCCTAATGAAGTTGGCTGAATGCTATTCTATTCATACCAACAGAAATATCCCAAATGGTTCAATTCAGACGTTAGCAAACTTTTTCTGAGTCAGATAAGTATTTTTCACTTTGTGGGCCACATATCATCTGTCTCATATTTTAAAAACAACAATAAAAATAACCACGAAACCATTTAAAAATAAAAAAGCTATCCTTATCTTTCTAGTTATTCAGCCTGCAGGCAGTTGTCAAAGTACACTGGAAATGGGCACGGCTTATTTTTGGCATGAAGCTCTAAACTCTGATCTTTAAAAAAGTCCATGTTAATTTATAAAGCTAATGGTATGGTATTTCTATGACACTGGAGAACCCTACAAATGCATGATGCCACTAAATAAGCATTTACTCTAGGACAGACACAATGCACACAAGTGAGTATTATGTCATTTCTAAGAGGTGACATGAGCCTCTACATTTCAAAAGGCGTAAAGCCAAATCCTTTGGCTTTTTAAGAACCTGGGTCAATAAAAGGATTCCAGGAGGGTTCAAAATATTCCAGAAATTTTCAGCATGCAAAATCTTATACATATTCATATATTTGCACTTTAGCTTTCATTAGACTGCCAAAGGAATTGGGCCTGTGATCCAAAAAACCGCTCCACTTCATTTCTGTATCAAAATAAGTGAAAACTTTACTAAGGACCACCACCTCAAAATGGATAAATCAACATTTGAAGGACACATAAATGAAAATTAAGTATATTTAAACTGCTTAGGGGTGGGACAAGGTTGAGAATATACATACAAGAAAAAATGTTCTATTTGTCAACATTATTCATAAGGAAAAGAAACTAAAACCTGGATGTTAAATTTTTTTTAAGTGCTTCCCATAGCTTTCTAGATATTATTACTAAAGATTTAAAAATAGTAGTGAATTTTTGCAACTAGAGGTATAAACAATGATCTTATTTCCTAATAATTACTGGCCTCCTAGATAGATGGAAAGGGGAAATTGTACTCAACCTCTGGTGTACAGTCACATACCAAACAACGTTCAAAAATGCCATAGTAAGCTAATTTAAAAGAAAAAAAAAGTTCACTTGGAAAGTTCTTGCTTTCAACAGTATATCACCTTATTAAGGGGCTATTTGTTATTATCTCCAAATCTGGGAGAAGCAAACAGTACTTGGTTCATTCACACATTCCATGAAAAACATCATTTTAACCATCTTATTGTTACCAAATATGGAGTCTGTGCATGTGTCCAACTTTTGATATTTACTGAGGACTAAAAAGAAAAATTTTTTTCTCTACTGAAGGCTGTTAGCAGAGCAATTCCAATACCTGCACAGGGCCAGAACACCGCTTGACACCAAACCTAAAGGCCCTTCATCATTTGACAGTAATTCTGCAGAGACATGTGCAGACCAAAATCTAGGCTGGACATGCATGCTATTAACAGGCAAGACATGAAGACTGAGAACACCCTCATGCACCCCTATGAGCTTGGAATGTTAGCACAGTTAGGAGATTAAAAGTGAGAATAGTCCTTCAAAGCAAAAAACAACCTAGCAAAAGACTAACTCTGATACGCCTGTTTTCTCTATTTTCAACGTTTTGGACAAGTTTCTCATTCTACACGGCAAAATCTTTTGATTACCTCTGTCAGTGTTTAAGAATACTGTATCCTTCAGTTGGCAGATAACTCACTGAAAGAATAAATTTATTTTGAAGTACCACTCAAAGCAAAACCTATAATGTCTTCTAATCATAGCACTATCCATGGGAAATATATTTCTGGAAATTCCTATGTGGTATAACTTTTCAGACAACTCTGTTAAATTTAGTTCAGAAAGCTACACAGATGGTCACTATTCATTGAGGAGAAAATGTTCACCAATTAACCTGCATTTCCTTAAAAAGCAAGGCTTTGAAAGAACTAAAAAAGACATTCTCAGACCCTCAGAAATAATCAACTGGAACTCTACCAAATCAACTATTTATGTAAAAATATGCCTTGGGAGAGAGCCACAGAAACTGACGATGGCCCAGCTGTTCACTTCAAGAGCAACGCATACTCTGACGTTAAGATCACAGCTTAATACAACCTTTTGAAAGCCAAGGTTGGTTTGGTTTTGCTTTTAATTAAGCAAATACCTGAGAATGAACCAAAGAGGGTGAAGGACATCCTTGGAAATCATAAACTACCGAAATTAGTCAGTCCAGGGGTCTAATTCGCAGTTTATTATCCACTCAAAGACTTGGCATGGTCAACAACATAGAGGTCACAGATTGCTTTTAAAAATTAAAAGCAGCAGTGTTGAGAAAATCCCCATGTAATGTTCCTTTGGGATCATGATGATGCGGTTTAAGCTAAGCCCTATAGTATCTGGCACTTTAATGACTTTGTTTTGTAGAATGAGGTAAGAACTGTTATTCAATGGAGAAATGAGGAAGGAGATTAAATTTTAGTGGTAGCAATTCTGTGGTTAGCTTTCAGCAGATGTAGTTCAGTACAGCTTTACTGGGTGACTGAGATAGAAGAGAAAAAAAAGAATGAGTTGATTTATAAAGAAAGGTCATTATTCTAACTAGCCCCCTGAGAGCTGGCACCTTACCCAAGTCTTTCCTTGCTCTCTTCTGGCGTCAGCTGATCAAAGGTTTTTGCTTCTTCAGCACCCAAGAAGGCATCGTGGTCATAATCAAAACTCTGAGCATCATTGTGAACTTTGTCGCTGAGCTGAGGTTCATGATGTACACGGTCCTTCTTTTCTGTGGGCTTGCTCAAGGCAAAGGCTGTGCACAGGGACAGGCACGTGAGAAGCTGCCGCAGGTCCATGGTGATCAGACCTTAGAGAAACAAAGGGGGTTCCCTCAGTATGCTCAATGATTCAACGGGAAATGAAAAGCTCAGACCCAGGAAAATTATTAATTTGACATTATCCTAAATATAATTATTTAACCCATAAAAAAGTATGCTAGAATATAAGACTTTCTAGTTTTATTCTGAGAAATTTTCACCACTTTCCTTCATCTGATTGTAGGCTGACAAGGAATTATAGGAACAAGGAATTACAAGGAGCATCCATCTTATTTTTTTTTTTTATTTTTTTTTTCTTTGTAAGTTTCTTTTTTTTTTTTTTTCATTTATTTTTATTAGTTGGAGGCTAATTACTTTACATCATTGCAGTGGGTTTTGTCATACATTGAAATGAATTAGCCATGGATTTACATGTATTCCCCATCCCGGTCCCCCCTCCCACCTCCCTCTCCACCCGATCCCTCTGGGTCTTCCCAGTGCACCAGGCCCGAGCACTTGTCTCATGCACCCAACCTGGGCTGGTGATCTGTTTCACCCTAGATAATATACGTGTTTCGAGAGCATCCATCTTATAAGCAGTCTCCCTTTATGCAGACACAGAAAATGAACCTGTGGACACAGAGGGGATGTGACTGAGCGTGTGTGTATGCACATGCTTCTGAAAGCTTATCAGTGTTCTTTTTCATGCTATTCCATCAAAACACCCAAAGATGCTTTAATCAATGATGATATTTTATGATTAAAAAATGAAAAAGGAACTAAATCAAAGAATTAGTAAATACATATTAAACCACCACAAACACCACAAAGTAGATATAGTGACTGTTACATTCCAGAAAAGTTTATGAAAACAACAAAAGCATGTTGCAAAACTATGTCACGATCTCATTTATATAAAAAGCAAAAATCAACTAACCTGCCAGGTTGCTTGTATTTGTATAAAATATAACATATATGCATGAAAATGGTGTGGAAGGATAAACATCTGTTTATAAATAGCAACAACCCCCTAGGCTGAAGAAGAGGTGGGGGTGGGGTGGTGAGGCTGGGACAGAGTGAACTTTAATACTGTGCTCTGTGGTGCAATCTTCCTTTTTCTAAATGAGTACGTTCCTTTTTGTGTGTACTTTTTAAACAATATGATAAAAATTATTTTCATTATTAGGTAGCATACATTTTCAAGCCTTTTCTCCTCACTGGAAAAGGAGACATATTTATTCTTAAGGAAAACACATATTTATTCTTAAGACACAAACGCTGTTTTTCAAGTAAAATAACACTGCCCAACAAGAAAAACACTCTAAGCTACTTCAATAATTGAACTAATCAATCAGACCAGTGGAACAGTAGAGACAAAATTAGATTTAGTGGCTCTCTCAAACATTACAGTGAGTATGTCTTTATTTCAGGACAAAATGAAACTTTCACTGCAAACTACAAATAATTCTTTAGATAAATAAAATTCTTTAGAGATAAGAAATGAGTTTTATGCTGTTATTGTGACATATCCAAATGATATCTATAATGTTAAAGGCTTACAAAATCAAGTAAAAATCAACAGTCATAGCAACAGTATCTTCCTTATGCCTATTAACAAGGTGACCTCACATCTAGGAAAATTTTATAAATGACTAATTACATCCCCAGAATAATAGCCTACCAATTCTTGCATAATGCCCTAACAACTTTTGCAAACCCCCATTGTTATAATATAAATTAATGCTTAAACCTGGGAACACTATCAGGGCCTGGGAGGGATACTGTGTAAAGTTTTGATACTGTGTAACATACAGAAATGTAACAGATTGACTCACTGTGATTTAGAGGGAAAACTACATTTAAGATTGAGACTTAACATCTTGATAGAGGGATAAAAGAAGAATGTCAGAGGAAAAGCCAAGTGATTCAATTTTATCATTTATCCATCTCTCTATCCTTTCCCTTTACAATTAAACTCAATCCTGCCCCTCTACAGGTCCCTTCATTCTGTCAATCAATACTTCTCAGGTCTTCATAATCCAAAATCAGTCTTTCTCAGACCCCACTATTTCTTCAAGTGTGCTCTTCCCTGTTCCTTCACTCACACGGTGTCCAGGAACACTTGTCTCTGTTTCCACACCACCTACTGTCTCCCCGCAATCTGGGCTTCTACCTACTATTGATCAAAGTGCCTAAAAACATCACCAAGGACTACCTACCAAAGCAATGGTTTCACCTTCATCTCTCTGCAGTGGGCAATGAAAAATCTGTACTTTAGTAGATATTTAACAATATACTTTTTGTGCCCACGTATATCAACTCCTGGCTGTTCGTGCTTGTGCTTACTAGAGCTTGACTCTGCCAGTAGTACTTGACTTTCATGGACTATAGCCCGCCAGGCTCTTCTATCCATGGAATTTTCCAGGCAAGATTAGTGGAATGGGTTGCCATTTCCTCCTCCAGGGGATCTTCCCAAATCAGGGATTGAACCTGTGTCTCTTACATCTCCTGCATTGGCAGGCAGGTTCGTTACCACTAGTGCCACCTGGGAAGCCCCCATTGGTGGTTAGAAACTTTAACAAAAGGACTCTTGTTTTATGAATACAGAGACTAAAAAAGACTACCAAATTTATTTAAATCCATATATATATATAAATGTCCAAATAGAAACAAAGGGTAACTCCCACGACAAAGTACACATAATGTCGAAAGATGTGAGAAAAGTATAGAACTTATACAAGGCTCCTGAAGACCTACATCAGCAGTTATTTCTGAAGCATCTTTCTCTTTTCAAACAAACTGAAACCAAGTAATAGAAAGCTAACAGACCCTTCTCTTTCTCCATCATGATAGCTTGCTTGTATGACTTTTTACCGCATGATCTAGATGGGCCTGACCAGAGGTTTATCAATTTTGTCTACCCTTTCAAAGAATAGAAAAAAAAAAAAGGCTCTTGGTTTTTTCTATTTTTAAATCTCTATTTCCTCTGATTTTTATTATATCCTTCCTTTTGGTGACTTTACCCATTGTCCTTGGTAGCTCAGATGGTAAAGAAGCATCTGCTTGCAATGTAGGAGACACAAGTTCAATCCCTGGGTCAGGGATGATCCCCTGGAGAAGGTAATGGCAATCCACTTCAGTATATTTGCCTGGAGAATCCCAAGGACAGACCATGTGGTTGCAAAGAGTCAGACACGACAGATCGACTAACTCTTTCTTTGCTGACTTTAGCTTTTGTTTTTTCTTCTAACTTGTCTTAGGTGGTAGGTTAGGTTGTTTGAGATTTTTCTTGTTTTTTCTTTTTTGAGAAAGGACTGTAGCACATCATCTAAAGGTAAATCAATGGTTGTGAAAAATACATCTCCCCGCTTCCATTTTTCAAATAACTTGCAAGTTTCTCTCACTCAAATTCTGCCCCTCCCTCACCAAGGGTAACATTTAATTGTTGATACTGTTCAGTTGCTAAGTCATGTCTGACTACATTTAATATTTTTTCTTAAAAGAAAAACAAAACCAGAAAACTAGACCTGCACTGTCCAGGACGAGAGCTACATGTGGCTACCAAACACTTAAAAAATGTGGCTAGTGTGAATTAAATGTGGTGTGTTACACTTTATGATAAAAGAATGGTACTTTTATATGTAGTGGATTAAATAAATTATTAAAATTAATTTCACATGCTTTATTAATAACTGTTGTTGAGTCGCTGAGTCATGCCTGACTCTTTGTGACCCCATGGACTGTAGCCCACCAGGCTCCTCTGTCCACAGGATTTTCCAGGCAGCAATACTGGCATGGGTTACCATTTCCTCGTCCCGAGGACTCTTTCCGACTCAGGGATGGAACCCATGTCTCTCGCATTGGCAGGCAGATTCTTGACTGCTGTGACACCTGGGAAGGCCCTTGTTTTAAATATTCAGGAATCTGACCGGGGATTGAACTCATGCCCCCTGGCAGTGGAAGTGCAGAATCTTAATCACTGGACCACCAGGGAAGTCCCTCACCTGTAAATTTAAGCCACATATGTGGCTTGTATTATACATCTATTTCATTGTGCCATGTTAGAGACATAAATAAACGGCTAGAACAGAAAAGGTACCAAGTTATTACCATACTTTTGCACTATGTCAGCCATAATGGTCTCCTACAAAGTTATTTTCATGAATTGTTCCAGTAAATTTATAAGGAGGGAAAGGTAATAGCATAAACTTGAATTTCTTTCAGTAACAATGATAAGCCTTAAGAATCAGTTTTACCCATTCAAAAATTTTCTTGAGAGCTTTAAATTCTTGCCATTTCTCCCTTTCCTCCCAATCATTTTTAATAAAAATGCACTGGTCACATAACAGTTAAAAGTAAGTTGTTTCAGGGAAATTTAGAGGTCTGGATTAAATTCAGCTTCTCAAGAACATTAACAATGAGTGACCCCACAGTTATTCCAGTTGACCAAAGACCCATTGCTCAGTGTTAACAGTAGGAGAAATGGGCGTGGTGGTAAAATTCCATTTCTGTGAGTTGGATATTGGGGGGGGGCAGGGGGAAGCATTCCTCTATAGTGCAGCAAAATCGGAATCTCAATGCTTAAGTGTCTACTTCAATTGGGAATTGAGGGCAAGAGTCTGATAGCAATTTAACTATACTAAAGTTCTTGTTATAAGGTCTAGGAATTAAAGCCACCTGGGGATCTACCTGACATTCTTCACTTCCAGACTTTAGTACCACTAATGGATCATACTAAGTTAATAACAGCACCTTTCATGATTTGATGAGAGTTATAATAATGACAAACCATTTATTCAGCATTTCTCTAGCAATCAATGGAACTGTTCATTAATACATTCTAATTAAATCATTTGTGTGACTGAGGGTATACATTTATTTATAAGCTAGCCAAGCATATAAAAGTGCAAAATTTGGCTGTAGGAGAAAAGCTTTGAAATGGCTATTACTTAGGTTTCATTAATTCTATAACCAAAGCAACCCAGTGCAAACTTAAAATTTTTCTTGCTACAGGGTAACAAAAATTTCCTTAAGAAATAAATTCGAGAAACCCTGGGAGAATGAAGGTTTCCTTTTGGCTGATGAAACTTCAATAAATTGTTAACTGCCAAAGGAAAGCTATGTAAAATGTAGGGGCAAGAGTTTTGGTTCCTGCTTGTAATTTTGCTGTGCATACGTAACACACACAAAATTCCTGGGAATTTGGTAGTTATTTCAGCTCAATCTTCCTTTAGTGCCAAATGTAAATAAACAATTTAAAATCCTAGATGAAAAGACCTATCTACTATGATCACTCCAGCTGCAAGTGGTCTGTATATAGTCCTCTAAAGAACTTTATAGAACTTCTTTGTACCACTCCACAATAATCATAGGTTATCTTAAGTTGTCTCCTTAGCTCCTCTATGGAAGTACTTTAGGAAGGCAGGGACCTCAGCTAAATATAAATTAATACTCTTCTATAATCCCTAATGGACTTCCCTGTGGCTCAGTAGTGAAGAATCTGCCTGCTGATGCAGGAGTTGCTGGTTTGATCCCTGGGTCGGGAAGATCTCCTGCAGAAGGAAATGGCAACCCACTCTGGAATTCTTCCCTGGAAAATTCCAAGGACAGAGAAGCCTGGTGGGATAGGGCCCACAGAGCTGAAGAGTCAGACATCCATCATAGTAATCTCTAACACTGTGTCTTGTGCTTTCTGTATACTAACACATTTTGCTGCATTAGTTGGACTGCACTTGGCAGCAGTATAGCTCCTGCCTGCCACCAGTGCTCCCCATTCTCCAATTCCCCTTACTGGATCTGGTCATCAGTCAGCAACAAAAAAGGTGCTATTTCAGCTGTCTTAACTGTAATACATAAATTACAACATCAACAACAGCCATATTTAAGAGTTCATAGAAAGACTGGAACTAGGACCTTATGGCCTAGCAAGCATCTTCAATGGTTATTCCTGGCTACACCTCTGTGCTTCCAAAACCCCTGGCACAACCATGCATGTGCCACACACAGAGGAAAACGTATGTTAAAATCAATGTACTGATCTCTTGTACCGATGCAATGTACAGAAAATACTCTGAGTATCTTTTGACACATCACTGGATAAATAGAGGCAAGTGATTACATTAACAGTGTTGATTACAAGTTTACTAGCCATTCAGGCATACTCAATTCATCTTTGTTAGCTCGTATTTCTCCTAGTGATTCTCAAAACAGTCCTGTTGGATACCCCTGAATCCCTGTAAATCTCAGATTTAGGCCAAGATAAACAAACTCATCTTCTCTCCACACAAATACAATTTACAGGTTATCTGTGGAGCCACAATAGTACTAGATATACATAAATGCTTCAACGATGACCATCGTTTCGTCCTTGGTTAACTAAATCTACCAAGTGAGGTCAAAAGTGCATTTGCCTTGTGTCAAGTACCATTCTATAGCAAAAAAATAAGTTATCAGAAATCCTATGGTTCTCTACCTCTAAGCTACAAAAACAAATCATAAGAAACCTTATTTCCAACTCATGCTTATTTTATGGTTCATGCCAGGAAGTGACTGCAACTCAATTCTCAAGGACATTATTCTGGGACTTTATACACTTAGGACTTCAGATCAAAACTCCTACTAAAGTTTTAGCAGGGGATCCAAGGAACTTTTTGCCTTGCAGCAAAAGCAGCTTTCGGAACTGAAAATCACTCGACTCGATCAGGGCAGCTGTAGGGAATTAAGTTGACTTATGAACTCAGCATGATAAAAATCAGAACTAGGATCTGGGGCTAGAAGCAACGTAAACATATAAAAATACAGTTCCTTATTGGAGTTTTTAAAACTATTTTCCGTCGCTGACCGAGGCATGAAGCCAAACATGCTAGAGATATCCGTCTTTTCTTTAAAATTATACACAACTTTTTAGAAAAATCACATAGGGTCTGCATGCTTTCTTCCCCCCTCGTTTCTACACCCTCCAAGTCAGCGAACTCGACTTTCTTGGCAGATGCAGATGTCCTCTCGGGATGTGGCCTTGGGGCGGAGCTGGCGGACACAAGCAGGCCCAAGCGTGGGAAGTGGCAGGGAGCTGTAACAATAACGCTATGTGACTGCCCTCCGACCTTCAAGAGACAAACAAGCGTGACCCTTTAGGATGAGGGGCCTGGTGACTGGCGGGGCTCAGGGCCAGAGGACGTGGCAAGCCAGGAACAAAACACTACCCCCACAGGACGCAGCGAGGGAAGCTGGAGCTCTCGGGGCCCCAGGCCCCTTCCCAGAGCGCGCGGCAAGGCGAGCGGCGGCCTCCAACCCAGGCTGCACGCCGAAGGCCGGGCAGTCACGAGCAGTCTCAGGCCTCAGAACCCCGAGAGGGCAGAAACCGGGACCCTGAGCCAAAGAAGCCCTGCAGCGCCGGGAGCGAGGCCCAGAAGACAGAAAGAAAGTGAAGAGAGAGGCGGCGGCGGCGGAGAGACTGTGCACCGTGGTACCTACCTCCCTCCGTCGCACCCACAGCCCAGGCTGCCGCTGCCGCCGCTCTGCCACCGGCTTAGCTCTGGCGCGCAAGCCCCGCCCAACCGGAAGCGGCTCCGCGCCCCGCCGCCGTCCTCCACGACGGCAGCCTCCAGACCAATCATCAGCCAGCCCGCCGCCTACGCGCAGCTTCCCCAGGCAGCCACTGGCCCCAGGCTTGCGTAGTAGGGATTGGCTGGAAAGCGCCACGTCTCCGCGAGCGCGCCGGGTTGCGTGGACAGGATTCCCGCCCAACTCCTGTCTTGGGCTGGGTGCAGTTGGCGGGTTGTAACCTCTTGCTCAGGTTGGCGTGTGGGCGCGGCCTTCTGGCCGCTTTGTACCGGTTCGCAGAGCGTGACTCGGCCTCCGCAGGGCTTCTTAAATTATCCTAGTTATCTTCATGCCCACAAGAAACCAGGGCCGAATTAATTGAATCAGTCGCCAAGTGGGTAGGCCCACTTCTTTCCCTTCAGCTCTGCCGCCTAGATGGGTACGTACCCTGTGCTGTGACTACCATCATCTAGATGTTTCCAACTGCCCGCCCTTTCATATCTCTCTGTGCTGTGCTTAGTCGCTCAGTCCTATCCGACTGTTTGCGACCCCATGGACTGTAGCCTGTCAGGCTCCTCTGTCCATGGGGATTCTCCAAGCAAGATACTGGACTGGGTTGCCATGCCCTCCTCCAGGGAATCTTCCCAACCCTGGGATCGAGCCCAGGGCATTGTAGGCAGATCCTTTACTGTCTGAACCACCAGGGAAGCCCTTCACATCTCTACAGTCTTTCATTATTAACCGACAGTGAGCTCGTTTTCCAAATCCTCTGCCTTGTGAATGACAAAATACAAGTTCACAGAAATCCCAGTTTGATCTTAGCTCTAGAAGCTTTCCTGACCTTGCTAGGCATAGCAATTCCTCCTTTATTTACCTTAAAACACTTTGGTATGTATGTTCATGCATGCTCAGTCATGTTGGACTCTTTGCAACCCCATGGACTATAGCCTGCCAAGCTCCTCTATCCATGGGATTTCCCAGGCAAGAATACTGGAGTGGGCTGCCATTTCCTCCTCCAGGGTATCTTCCTGACCCAGAGATGAAACCCTCCTCTCTTGCACCTCCTGCATTGGCAGGTGGGTTCTTTACCACTAGAGCCACCGGGGAAGAACAAATTTTGCTGTAAAACGCTGTTTATCCATTTGTCCTCCAGACTAAGCTCCATCAGAGAGATCTGCCTTTATTCATCTTTGTACCTGAAGCTTTCAGCTTACTGCCCAGATCAAAGTAAATGCTTAACAATGTTAAGTGAACTGAATGGGTGGAACCCATATGATGTCCCCAGTTGAAGAGGAACACAGGAAATCATGAACTTATTCATTTTCAAGTCATGAAATTAGAATTAAATAAGGATAGCTCAGTTGGTAAAGAATCCACCTGCAATGCTGGAGAGCTCAGTTCGATTCCTGGGTTGGGAAGATCCCCTGGAGAAGTGATAGCCTATGCACTCCAGTATTCTTGGGCTTCCCTTGTGGTTCAGCTGATAAAGAATCTGCCTGTAATGCGGGAAACCTGGGTTCGATTCCTGGGTTGGGAAGTTCCCTTGGAGAAGTGATAGGCTACCCACTCCAGTATTCTGGCCTAGAGAATTCCATGGACTGTACAGTCCATGGGTCTCTCAAAGAGTCAGACACAACTAAGCGACTTTCACTTGCTTCTCTAAGGGCTATTACCTTTGCAATGTCAATGGACAAAAACCTACTGTGTTCTTAGCACATATAGCCTCTATAGTTTAAAATCCAGTTGAGACAAGTAGTGTGCTCATGAGAAAGTTAAATACAAAGCAACTTAGTTTACTTTAGACATCAAGGTGAGAGGTTGACCAATGCTTTGGGAAGGCGTGGCCATAACCCTTGGTAACAGCCAGAAAGGGCTTCTGAAGAAGGTGTGACCCAGGCTGGACTAAAAAATTCCTGGGCACTATTTAGCAAAAGGAATAACCGGAAAAGGGCATGTGGGGGACAGAGTAGGAGGTAAATTCTTGGGTCAGGTTGGGGATGAGGGAGGTTAAAAGAGGGGAGGGGGAGGGGAGAGCCTGAGTTCTGAGGAGCCTGAGCTGAAGGCAGTGGGAATTGTGGGTCTTCCTCTGAAGGTTTCCAAGCTTGTGCCTTTGTGGCAAGTGGAATGAGGTTGAAAGTGTTCTCTCAGGGAGATGCATCTCCATACAGGTTAACTATGGAATAGGCTGCCTCAGGAGCCACTTTAAAAATTATTTTGAAAATGCCTCCTTGAAGTCAGGCACTGTACTAGGTGCTGGTAAACCCACAAAGAATAGGACATGGCCCCTGCCCTCAAGGAACAGCTGCCTAGTGGAAATGCCACCATCTTGGAAGTGTCCTAGAAGAGGCTGGATAAGGTGGTGGGACTCTGCCAGAGATGGGGCACCCTTTAACCCTGAGGTTCCCTGTGAATGAGGGTTTGGCCTAGGCAGAGCAAGAGAAATGCAAATGAACACTTGTATACAAAAGAATTTTAAAAAGTGGGAATAAGAATTTCCTGGGTTTAGTGACTGCTTCGAAGAAAGAAATGAAAAAGGAGCACTTGAAAATTTAAAGTTTTAATTGTAGGAAACTGGGAGAATGAGCTAGGTACATGGATGATAGGGGAACGGAGTTGAAATAAAGACACGATGAATCTAAGGTAATAGGAGAGCAGCTAAAAAGAATGAACCAGTAGGCTGGAGGAGATGCTTAAGGTTATTGGCCAGGCAGCAGCTGGTGGAGCCATGAGAACACATGAGGTTTTTGAGGAGAGAAAAGCAGATTAAGCCTCCTGGGAGCCCTCGAGTTAGAAAGCAGGTAGAGGAGGAAAAGGACATGAGGGCTGACACACGTTAAGAAATATCACCATAGCCATACCCAAGGTCCATCTAACTGGGGGGGGAAGCACTGAAGGACTGTTTATGGCAAATAGAATAATGTCAACCTCAGAAGGCTGATAATGTTATTCAAACATCCTAGCGGTTCTCATACGGTGCTACTGAACATTCACTCTGCAAATGTATTATTTCCTGTGTGCAAGACACTGTTCTAGGCATTAGAAGGTGTCTAGGAGGTACAGCAGTGAATGGACAAAACTCTCTGTGGAGTTCTCCAGGCAAGAATACTGGAGTGGGTAGCCATTCCCTTCTCCAGGGGATCTTCCCTGACCCAGGGATCAAACCCAGGTCTCCTGCATTGTAGGCAGATTCTTTACCATCTAAGTCAGCAGGGGAGCCCCAAACTCTCTCATGGTGTCTATATTCTGGAATGTGGCCTATAAACCATATAAAAAAGCAAAATATATAGAATGAGAGGTGGTGATAGATGCCTTAGAATAAAATAAGGCTGGAAAGGAGACTTCCCCAGTGGCTCAGTGGTTAAGAATCCATCTTGCAATACAGGGATGCGGGTTTGATCCCTGGTCAGGGAGCTAAGATCCTACATGCTGAGGAGTAACTAAAGCCCGACGCTGAAACTACTGAGCCTCAGTTGCTCCAGAGCCTGCACACCACAACTCGAGAGTCTGTGGGCCACAATGGAAGCTCCCTCATTGTGCAACTAAGACCCAATGCAGCCAAATAAATTATTTTTCAAAAAATAAGGCAGGAAAGGAAAAAGGAAACGTTAGGATCATCAGGAGTGGTTTGCAGTCTTCAAGAGGGTAGCCAGAGAAGGCTCGTGAAGAGGATGACACATGAGTATGAGTGAACATCTGAATTTGGTGAAGAACATCCCAGGAAAAGGCAGCAGTGAGAGCAAAGGTCCTGAGCTGCTGAAGCCTGCTTGGAGTGTTTGAGCAACAGCAGGAAGTCAGTGTGGCTGGGTAAAGTAATTTAGCAGAGTAGAGGATATGAGGTCAGGGAGATAATAGCCAGGATGGGGGTGAAGATGAGAGGGACACCATGGAGGGCTTCAGGCCATTTTAAAGTCTGTAGCTGCTCCTATGATTGAAGTAATGTGGAAAGGACTGGCTGTTTACCGAACTGTTTCCTCTTCATCCTGTGACACAGCTGTACTACATTTCCCAGCATCCCCCCTCCCGGGATATGGCAGTGTGACAGAGCTCGGGCCAAATGATGTCCACTACTTCCAGTACTGGCCATGCAAACCTGCCACAAGCCATTCTCCAAGCTCTTGCTCTTTCTATGGCAACCCTGGGAGCCGTGTAGCACAGATGGTAAGTCACAAGATGGAAGGAGCCCAGGGTCCTGTTAAAGAGCTACTCCCTGAACAGGACACCCTTCTTGAACTTTTTCTGTGTGTAAGAAATGAAGTTCTGTTGATTATTTTATGCCATTGATATACTGGGGCTTATTTCTTACAGAAGTAGCATTACCTTAATGCAGATGGGAAGCCATTTGAAAGTTTTAAGCAGAAAAGTGACATGCCTAAGATCTTAAAAGGGTCACATTAGGGACTTCTGTGGTGGCCCAGTGGCTCAGACTCCATGTTCCCAATGCAGGGGGCCCAGGTTCCATCCCTGGTCAGGGAACTAGATCCCACATGCTGCAACTAAAGATTAAAGATCCTGTGTGATGCAACAAAGACCTGGTTCAGCCAAATAAGTATGTTTTTAAAAAATAAAATAATGTTCTGTAGAAATAGTAGTATTAGTCACCCAGTCGTGTTCAAATCTTTGTGATCCCATGGACTGTAGCCTGCCAGGCTTCTCTGTCCATGGGGTTCTCCAGGCAAGAATAGTGGAATGGTTAGCCATTCCCTTCTCCAGGGGATCTTCCTGATCCAGGGATCGAACCAGGGTCTCTTGTATTTCAGGCGGATTCTTTAAGGAGGTTACCATCAATAGAAGAAAAAAAAAATCAAGCCAACCTTTAAGAAAAGGAGGTCACATTGAAATTCAAGAGGATAAGATTAGAAACAAGCCACTCATTTAGGTGACTTTTACAACAGTACAGATGATGATGGCTTGGTCCAGCATGATAACAGTAGACATTCTGAGAAGTGTCGGATTGTGTATATATTTTGAAAGCAGGTTGAAGGTGTTTCCTGATGGGTTGGAAATGAGATGGAGAGAAAGAAGACTCAAGGATGACTCCAAGGTTTGATAAGTAGAAATATGGAGCTGCCGTTTACAAGGACAGAGAAGACCTTGTGGGGAGCAAGTCTTGGACAGAAGTCAGCGATAGAAAAGACCTTGTGGGGAGCAAGTCAGTACTGAGAGTTTTTTTTTTTTGGACATGTTGAGATGCCTATTAGAAATTCGAATGGAGCTGTCGAGTAGGCAGTTGGTGATCACAGTGTTCTGGACTAGAGAGATACATTTAGGAGTAACTGGTTTATGTGTGGTATGAACTATGAGGTTTGATTAGAAGAGACCCAAGACTCAGTCCTGGAAATTTCTAGTGTTTGGAGATGGTGGTGATGGTGGTGGTGGAGGGGTGTTGATGAGAATGAATTAGCAAAGGAAACTCAGAAGAAAAGCCAGTGAAAGAGGAGAGAATAATGTTCTAGAAGCTAAGTGAAGGAAGTGTTTCCAGGAGAAATCACATATATTACATGCTAACAGAGGGGTGAGGACTCTTTGACCATTGGCATTAGCAATGTGAAGATCAGGTTTGGTGTCTAGTGGAAGGGTTCAAGAGAAAATGGGAAGCAAGACATTGGAAACCCTTTTAGGGAGTTTACTAAAGGGGAACAGAGTGGGCAGAGAGCCCAAGAGAGGTTTTGTTTAGTTTTATTTTTTTCATATTTTTAAATGGAAGAAATAGCAGTTATATTAAAGAAAAATACCAGCGTGTTTATTACTGATGGGAAGCCTCTAAGAGAGAGAATCAAATTGATGATGAAGGGAGAAGGGAGAGTTGCTGGAGCAATGTCCTTGAGTAGGTGAGGTGGGAGGGGACCCAGTACAAAATGGGAAGATTTGGACTTTCCTTAGAGCTAGGTAGTTCTTTTATATTAACAAGGAGAGAATCTAGATCTATTGGTCTGGTTCTAGGCGAGTGGTAGGGGTGGTCATGAGAACTTGGAGTTCTCTTTCAGTTGCTACTATGTTTCCAGTGAAATAGGAAGCTGGGTCATCAGGAGGCACTGGGGGAGCCTCCCACCCAAAGAAGGAGAAGATGTGGAATAGCCATTCAGCAGAGAGAGCAGATGAGGGGAACATAGTATGAGCTCCAGGCAATATTAAGGACCCTCTTGAGAACTGAGATAATGCTGAAGTGAAACTGGATAGTATGTCATGTGGTTTTTCTCCAGGCAAATTTAGTGGCGTGGGGACCTCCCTAGTGGTCCAATGGCTAAGACTCCATGATCCTAATGCAGGGGCCTTGGGTTCGACCCCTTGTTAGGGAACTAGATCCTGCAACTAAGAGTCTGAATGCTGAAAACTAAAGATCCTGCATGCCTCAACTAAGATCGAAGATCCCAGCTACCGCAACCAAGACCTAGTGCAACCAAAAAAAAGTTTAGTGTCATGGTGCAGTTGGTGGAGAGTTCGACCTGGTCAGTTAATAAAGTGGAAGAGGTACAAAGGCGCTGAGGGTACTTGCAAGAGAGTGATGATATTCAGGATGGATCATGGAATCTAGGCTGGAGGGGGAAGGAATGAAGATGTGAGGACAGGAAGGGATAATGAAAACCCAGAAGGAGCAAGAAATTGCAGGATTGGTGGGGTCGAAGGATTATCGGACTCAGGGAAAGGTAGGAGATGGTATATAGTTGGAGAATAGAAATGATGGGGGGGTGCAGTTATTAATGTCAAACTCTAGGGTAAATTGGGGAGGGGGTCAGTGGCTGAGGAGGGTGAAGGACAAGGAGAGTGACTAGGGTATGGGAAGGATCATCTATGTGGATACTGAAATCACCAAGAATTAGGACATAACTCATCCTTGGCAAGAGCAATGATGATTGAGGAACTTACTTTTTAGCCCTCCAACCATTTCAGTCTGAAAACCACTTCAGTGAAGAAAAATACCCTCCCCTAGGATAGCCTAAATCAAAGCAAGATGTCCAGAAAAGCTTTCCAACTGGAAGGTTGGGTACCTTTTCTGAAATACTCATAGTCTGGCTTTTATTGAATGTGCAATATTGTGCATTTTAAATAGAGACCAATCCATGGTCTCTCTAGCAGACCCACCTTAGTGACTGTCTTCATCTATAATTTGTGAACCCTTGATTTTACCTATACTTTGAGCCTGGAACCTCTGATTTACCTGTATTTTGAGCCTGTGTCTCCTCTCTTTGGAATATCTAGCAAGTACTAACAAGATACTCTATTTCAAGGGGGTATGGTATGCAAAAGAAATTGAGCCAGTGTTTGTAGGGCTGAGACAATAGAAAGCCTTATTTCTGCAACTAAGAAAGAGAAACTCCCCCTACCACACGCACCTTGTCTTACAACCTCCCGCAGGAAACTTGTGTAGCCTCGGACCCAAACCACCATTTGGAACCGCAGGGCCAGGCTAGCAGGTCCAAGTCAGGAAATGCACTAAGGAAGAAGGTCTAAGGCTTGAATCAAAACAGAGGGACTAAGGAGAAAAATTGGCAAAAAGGAACATTTAAGGAGAGGCCTTTGGCTAGAATTCATTTCTGTCCCCGTATCCTTGTCCAGAGGAGTCTGAGCAGAGAGGAAAACACATGTCTCTTTTGGTATATGGCCTTACTTTGACGTTTTAAATGAGATAAATAGAAGCTTGGCAAGGCATCTCTCAGTGTGCTTCTCGTGTCCTCTTTTTTGTTTCCTTCTGTTACCACTTTTCTGCATCTCCCCTCTTCCCTGATTTCCGCCCTCCACCTTCCTCTTCAGCCCCGTTTTGTTCTCTTCCACTTCTTTTCTGGTTCTGGTTCTCTTTGCTTCCTTCTCTCTCTCTCTCTCGATCCTGGTCCTTCTGCGAGCATATGTTCTTGTGCTGGAAGGGAGGTGAGGTGTGGTGATGTGTGGTGGTGAGGATGCAAAGTTACGGACCAGAATAATGCTGAAATAACGCTTCTTGTCTGGGAGCCATGCTCCCAAGCAATTCTCCAGGGAAAGGCTATGCTGTCAGCATGAGATGATTGTAGTTTTTCCTTAGCTGCAGCTTTTCTCCTCCCCTCCATAAGGACAGTATCCCACAGAAAGCTGAATGCTGCAGAGTAGTGTTGGCAAGGGTCGTATGATTCTCTCTACTGTGAAAGGGTGGCTCAAATAGAATTTCCTGTGAGTATAGGAGAGAAAAACTTTCAGTAAGATATAGCTTGCCTCATGAGCTCTTCTATAGGCACCTAGATACTTCTGTTAGTTTTTTAAATTGTCAACTATTGATAACAGTTAACTTATAAGAGTTAGTGGCTTATTGATTATATTTTACTCTAGAAAACATAAACCACTGTACCTTCTTTAAGGATCTCTCTCTGGTCAGACAGAGGCACACAGGAAATACTTAATGAATGTTAAATGAATACATGGATGGACGGATGAGCCTTGGTGCGTGGAAAGATAAGGGCTGGGCCTCAGAGAAATTTGATCCCCACACCTCATCCCTCCCGGGCTTCCCTGGTGCCTCAGATGGTAAAGAATCTGTCTGCCATGCAGGAGACTCGGGTTCGATCCCTGGCTCAGGAAGATCCCCTGGAGAAGGGATCAGCTACCCACTCCAGTATTCTTGCCTGGAGAATCCCATGGACAGAGGAGCCCAGTGGGCTACAGTCCATGGCGTCGTAGAGTCAGAGGCGACAGAGCGACTTTCACTTTGACTCCTCATGGACTTCTTCCTTCCCACTCTACACAGCAGAAGGTTGGGACTCCCGTGGAGGCCAGAGAAGGAAAAGGAGCTCCTCCCTCTGCAGAGGCAGCCCGTCGTGCTTCCAGCACAGCACGAAGAAGGCAGCTCTAGTGACAGCTGTGTCCTGCCAGTATCTGTCTCTTTTGAGCCACTTGCAGGAATGCCCAGGGGCCTCTGGTAGCTCTGGAGGTGCCACTCTTAGGGTTTCACTCAGCCCAGTTGAAGGTAGAGAAGAACAGGGCAAGAACAAAGAGGGTTGAGGTAGCTGTGGCTAGTCCCCAACTCCCAAACCACAGCCTCCTGGAACAATTCCCAAGACCCTAGAACCTGAACCCAGGCCTGTGCCAGGAAGGCAATGGATGAATGCTGTCACCATACCTATGAGTGGGGCCAGCTGGGGCCCAGTGGAGGCTGCCAGAGTGCTGAGGAGTGAGAGGGACTGCGGCCCAGAGGGGTTCTCTCTTTCCCACTCTCCATAGGTGAACGAATCCCTCCAACTGAGGTCACGGGTGCAAGGGATGGAGTCTTCATTCGGAGAGGTTTTTTTCCCTAGGTCAAAAAGGAATGCGGTTGTTTGTACTTTAATTCACAGACCACACTCACAGGTTCCAGCCAACATTTGTGAGGTGCTTATTATGGGCCAGGCACCGTTTCAAACAATTACATGCATTAATGCTCTTTTAACCCTCACAACAACCTCTGAGAGATCAGTGCTGCCATAGTCCCCATTTGATGTGTGAGGATTTGGGGGCCCAGCAAAGTGAAGTCACTTACCCATGGTCACATCGTGAGGAGGCAAGGCCAGAATCCCAGGCCAGATAGCCAGGCAACAAAGCCTGTGTTTTTACCACTACATCATGTCAACAGGCAGTGCCCATAAAACGAGGCAACTAACATGGCTTGGAGAGGTTAACCGAGTGAGTTTCCCCAGGAGATTCAGCTAGCTGAACAGGCAATGCCCTTGAACCCAGATGGCCTGAAGCCAGAGCCTGTTCTTGGTCCACTTGGCTTGAGCTACTTAAGAGTGGCTCACAGCCCAGCAGCTTTGGCATCACCCAGAGCATGTGAGAAATGCAGTCTCAGATCTGCCCAGATGCTCTGAATCAGAATCTGCATGTTAACAAGATTCCCTAGGGGGGCATTTGCACATTAAAGTTTGGGAAGGACCATATAGATCACATCACCCACAAATGGGGAAGTGACATGTTCAACAACACAGGTAGACTTGGGGATGCTGGCTTTTCCAAATGTAGCTCCCTCTCTCTCTCCCTCTCATCATCCAAAAGTTTTAAGAGACTGGGGTATGAGCATCCTTCCAAACTGAAATTGTATGCTACTTGGCCCAAAGAGAAAAGAGGGGTTCCTTCAGGTCCAAGGAAAGAACAGGGTCCTAAGGACATCCCAGGATCATTAATTGCAATCAGCCTAGGGACATCTCGGGAGCAACAGTTCCCATGACACAGATGTCCTGTGACTCTGAAATTCTAGCTGTTCTCTCAAGTCCTAAAATAAGTTTGAAATATTCTCTAGCTCTGTCTTCTTCAACACTGATCTCATGGGATATGTTTTGAGTGTATGTACATGTGTGTGTGTTTGAATGTATGTGTAAAAACATTAATGACTCACCACTGTTAACTAGCAGTCACATAATATGAGAAAGCAATCCTAGACTTGCAGAAAATGTGGGCCAGCAGTCACCTCTGCTTACCACAGAGAACAGGGGCTGAGAACTGGCAGCCTCCAGGCTCTCTTTTCCGCAGGTGCCTTTTGTTTGCCCACTAAGTTTTGGCCTATACTGTGCTTTGCTGGGTTTCCCTGGTGGCTCAGATGGTAAAGGATTGACCTGTGATGCGGGAGACTCGGGTTCAGTCTCTGGGCTGGGAAGATCCCCTGGAAAAGGGAATGGTAGGAACCCACTGCAGTAGTCTTGCCTGGAGAATTCCAAGAACCGAGGAGCCTGGGGGGCTACAGTCCATGGGTTCACAAAGAATCAGACACGACTGAACAACTATCACTTTCACACTTTAGATCTTTATGAAGTGGGGGATGGGGGTGTATGTGATATGAAAAATCAGATTATCTGGCAATGCCAGGCCTGTGTTGCAGCATGGCAACCATTAATGAAACTTTGAAACATTCACTTTTTCATTGCCACAGTCCCCATCACTCCCTACTGTCTCTTCAGTGCTGAACTGTGTCAGCCCAGCTCTTGTTTTATGAATAATAGGGATGGGAGAAAAATTAGCCATTTCTTATATATATGACACATAGACTCTTTACTCCTTTATAACACCTGCAGATGTTTGAGTTTGAGTCCCTGGTTTGGATAAAAGTTGGCACAGCTCCTCTAGGATCTACATACTCCTCCAAATTTCTAAATATAACATGATATTCTGGCTGCCTTTATGAGCTGGTTTGGAGGAATGATTTCTTAGGGAGGTGGTACATGAATATTTATTGAGCTCCTATTGCATTCTCAGACCTGTGCTTCCCACTGTAGGAATTCAGAGGCACACAAAAAAAGTTTAGTATTGGTTGAAGAAATAAGACTTAAACCTATGAAACAATTAGGGAACTTATGTTATGAAAGAGAGGTTATGAGCAAGGCAAGATGTGCCTGGACAGGAAGGTGTCATGAGTGTCGTCATTTAGTCTCTAAGTCGTGTCTGACTCTTTGCGACCCCATGGACTGTAGCCCTCCAGGCTCCTCTGTCCATGGAATTCTCCAGGCAAGAATACTGGAGTGGGTTGCCATTTCTTTCTCTAGGGGACCTTCCTGACCCAGGGATTGAACCCGTGTCTCCTGCATTGCAGATTCTTAATGCTGAGTCACCGGGGAAGCCCCAGTTTTGAGTGTATCTGAACGATTAGGCAGGATTTAGTGGCGTCAGGAAGAAGGGAGCAGAGGAGGATGAATAAGTCATGGGGAAGGATAGCTGAGGTTTGACCAGAGCAGAAGATTTGAGCTGGAGAAAAGGAGGCAAAGAGCTCCCTATTAAGGAGGAGAGAGTAATCAGGTGACATGGGTAAGATGGAAAGTTCATGCAGGATCAGCCATGCCAAAATAAGTGGATTTGAGGTAAACTAGAACCTGAGAATACATAGGGAACTGGCTGCTGTTTCCAGAATGTGTCATGCTGTCTCACACAGACTCTGTGTCTCTTTCTAGGATCCCTGCCTCATCTGCCTCAGCCAGCCCACTTGTACTCATCCTCTGTGACTCAGCACAGACCCCAGGTCTTCCGGGACAGCTTCCCGGAAGGAGTGAGGGAGCTCTGCCTTTGTGCCCTCAAGACAGGAGCACCCCAGTCTTGAGCTTTGAATGTTGCCTGGAAGGAGAGGTTATGTGATTTGGGAATTTACCTGTTTGACTCCAAAAACTATAAACGCCTGAATGGGGTACTGTGTTTTTCTTCACTGTGACTCCAAAGCCTTCAACAGTGTTTGACACTTACCAGGTGCTCAATATGTGCTTTTGAATGAATGAATGAACTAACAGGAGACTGCTGCAGTGGCCCAGGCAAGAGATGATAAAGTGGACTAGAGTAGGTTCTGTGGGCTTGGAAATGAACTCAAGAATGTAAAGAATATTTCAAAGAAAGAAACTGGGGTGATGTGGTGCCAAATAGACTATGGTGACCACAGATGCCAGAAGAACTAGAACCAAGGTACAAGAGGATAATGGTGATCCTGACAGCTCAGGAAAGTTGGGGTGGGGGACTGGAGGGAATTTTATTCCTATGTCTGCAGAGCAGAAAAATTCTCCAAGATGCAGGTACCCTGTGCCCTCCCTTACCTGAGCTGTCCTTTTTGTTCTCTGTCTTTTTGCTGCTCCTGGAACTCCAGTCATTTCAGGATCAAGGAAATGAAGGTCAGAAGGAAAAGAATAGAGCATGAGACTCTCGTTTTAAATCTTGTTTCTCGTTATATTTTTCCTGATGCAACAAAAGCTTTAGAGGCAGATATAAATATGAAAAAGGACAGCTGTGGCTATATTGGGTGGATGTGACCCATATTAAAGCACCAGAAGGAAAACTAAAGAAGGAGGAGGTAGGATGGGGTAGGGGTTTGAGGAGCAGAACCCTTGATGCTGATTTTGCTGAGGTGGAGTGGGCGTGACTCCATCTGTTTGGTGTCTCAGCCATTTATTTTATTTGCTGTAAGTTACATATTGCTGTTGATGTGCTAAAACTGCAGCCAGACCAGAACCTGCCTACATGAGGACAAAAATCATCACTCCAGGCTTCATGCTGGGAAATGAAAGAGAAGAAACTAAATGTCTGTACAAAGTAATTGAGATAGGGAAGCAAAAATTAAATGTTCCCTGTTTCTTGCATCCTTCTGATGCGTCTTGCATATGACAGCCTGGACTCGGTTGCCATGGCTCCCGGGCTGGTCCCTCCACACCTAGCCTCCCTCTCTTCAAATCTCTGTCACAGCAGCAGCCAGCTTGACCTTTTAAAAATGTAAATGGGATCACATCACTTCCCTGTTTAAAATGCTGCTAAGGTTCCCATTACAGTTAAAGCTTAAATCCATTCGCATGGCTTCCCAGGCCCTGCCTTGCTTGGGCCCTGCCAGCTTCTACATATGTCCTCCTACCAACATCCCCAGTTCCCCACTGATATTCCGTCCCTTTCTCTACACTGACTCAGTAACCTTCTTACTCAGGGTGAAGCCTCAGTCTTATACCCATTTGTTCCCTTAGCCTGCACAACTTTCCCCATCCTTTATCTGACTTCTGTGAGTTTTTCCTTCAGGTCTTCAACTTCTCTGACCTTTCAGAGCTATTAAAATCTCTCTGTGCCAGAGATTACCAGTAGGCCCCCAGCATCCCTTCTTCCCTTCTGCTGAGGCAGAGCGTCTAATTTTGTGTTGGGCCCATGGCTATGCCGAGTGGAGGCTTCATTTCCCAGCCTCCTTTGCAACCGAGTGTGGCTATCATGATTCAGTCTCTAAGTCGTGTCCCACTCTTCGCAACTCCGTAGACTGTAGCACACCAGGCTCCTCTGCTTTCCACTATCTCCTGGACTTTGTTCAAATTCATGTTCATTGAGTCGGTCATGCTATCTAACCATTTCATCCTCTGCCACCCCTTCTCCTCCTGCCTTCAATCTTTCCCAGCATCAGCGTCTTTTCCAGTGAGTCGACTCAGCGCATCAGGTGACCAAAGTATTGGAGCTTTAGCTTCAGCAACAGTTCTTCCAATGAATATTGAGGGTTGATTTCCTTTAGAATTGACTGGTTTGATCTTGCAATCCAAAGGACTCTCGAGAGTCTTCTCCAGCACCACAATTTGAAAGTATCAATTCTTTAGTGCTTAGCTTTCTTTCTGGTCCAACTCTCACATCCATACATGACTACTGGAAAAACCATAGCTTTGACTAAATATAGGTGTGGCTAATGAGGTATTAAACAGAGGCTGTCCTAAGAGTAATAAAATCTGTGAGTTAACATTTTGAGACAGTCAAAAAATTGCTTCACAATATCTTGTTCTGGGAATTCCCTGATGGTTCAATGGTTAGAACTCTGTACTTCCACTGCCTGAAGTCAGGAGTTCCACCCTTGGTCAGTGAGCTAAGAGCTCGAAAGCTGAGTGGTGTGGTCAAAAAAAATGCTTTATTAAGTCCAGAGCTCTCCTGTTCAGAATGTGATATCTTAAACCCTGGAACCTCTTCATTATAGATCTCTGTATGATATACCGAGTGACAACCCCAGTATAAAAAATTCTTCAACAGTGGGCCACTAATAAGTCTTTTTCTGTGTTATCACTTTTCTACTTTCAGCCCAAGTTAGAATACAAGTTAATATTTATTGAGAGTTAATTTATCTGCCTCTAAATTTGCTGAGGACCAGCCAAGAACTTGATGCATATGGTTCATTTTATACTGACACTATCTGGATGAGGTTGGCATTATCATAATTTCCACTTTACAGATCTGAAAACTGAGGCCCAGAAGAGTTAAGCAATGTGCCCAAGGGGTCATCGTCAGAGCGGTGACTTGGGTCCAAAGCTATGTGAGTACTTACCCACTATGAGACTTTGCCTCCTTTGAGCTCTCCTGATTTTCAGTTTATTACTGGCACTCATACACACAAAAAAACTTTCTTTTTTTTTTTTTAATTCTGTCTCTGAGTTGCTGGTCCCTGTTATGACAAAATCTCCTTCTCTGGTGTTTTTTCTTCTGGTGACATTTACTAATTTATTTCTGTTCTCCCTTTTCTTTGACACCACATGTCAAGTTCACTAGGACCCCGGTTCCCACTTGATCTTCGCTCTCTGGCCATGGTACCCAGAGGTCTAAGTGCTCTCTACTTTTGTCTAATACCAACCAGTCCTAAGAGTCAACCCTAAGTCATCTGTACCTACAGTGACATTTCCTCAGACATGGAGAAGACAGGCCTACATGAGGAGCTTTCCAGAAAACACTTAAAAAGTGACCACAGAAGTTCCATGAAGTCCAAGCAGAGGCCAAGTATGTAGGTAAAGGAACTCAGTGATAGAGGATGTTTTAAACAATGTCTTGATTATTTCTCAGTAGGAAATCTAGGAACTAGATTAGAAATTAGGTTTTACTTTTCCACTGTGTTACTAATTTATTCTTAATATTGAAGAAGTTACTTTTCATTTTTTATGGATATCCTTCTCTGAAGTCAAGCCCACAGTGTTTGTGGAGAAGGACAATCAGGCAAAGAGACCAGGAAAAGGTTTCCCTGAGTCAAGAATACAGACTGGATTGGATATGGAAGGGCAGTATTTCATGTACTTCCTTGTGCGCCTTAACCAGATTACTTGGTTTCTGGGTCTCTGGGACAGACCACCTGGGGACATCAAGCTGGCTGGATTTGAGTCATGTACCTGAACAGGTTGTGCTGATGCAAGTCCGCAAAGATCTGACAGAGGGCCTCGCTCTCCCCTTTGGCCATCAGCTGCATGAGGCTCTCGCTGGGCTGGGAAGCTTGGGGTTTCTTCTGTACTAACTAGATGGAGGAAAGAAAAACAAGGCCAGGTTGTTAAGGTCTTAGCATCTCTGCATTTTCCTAATATCATGGTCTAGACCCTGAAGTGTTAGAATCTAAAATGTTCCATCAGACAGAGCCATGCCAGCAGCTGAGAGAGGCAATTCTGAGGCTGTATCTGTTTGTTTTGATCTCTATTGTTATAAATTTCCTTTGATGTCCTAAGAATAATATTGTTATTGAAAACTTTAAACATAATTTAGTGTACGTAAGCTATTCTTAACATATCTTACTATGTTATTGAACAGTCTATTAACATAAACTTTAATAAAACTTACCATACTTGGTTTTATATTTACATAGAGGGGGTTAAATGTTTATTGTAGAAATTTAATGTTTTTAAAATTCATTTCTCTAAGAAATATCCTGTGCTGAGATGCTTTTTATGCTGCAGTAAAATTGCCTTTTTTGCTTGTTGCCTGTGATACCCCTCAGATGTTCTAGTTGTGCGGGGGTGTGTGTGTGTGTGTGCACATGCTCAGTCATGTTAGACTCTTTGAGACCCCATGGACTGTAGCCCACCAGGCTCCTCTGTCCATAGAATTTTCCCGGCAAGAATACTGGAGCGAGTTGCCATTTCCTCCTCCAGGGGATCTTCCTGACCCAGGGATCAAACCCATATCTCTTGCAGCTCCCACATTGGCAGGCAGATTCTTTACCACTGTACCACCTGGGATACCCCCTAGTTGTGCATGCTGCTCATGTTCATTTAATATTAATATTTACTGAATATCAACTATTTGCCAGGCACTGGGGAATCTCAGTGAAAAAAACAGATAAAAATCTCAGCCATTGTGGAGCTTATGTTGTAGTTCACATCAGGCTTCAGTTCTTTAGACTCTAAGGCCTGAGGCAAAAAGGCCCAGGTGGCTTCCCTGATTTCTATCAAATATTTAAAGAAGTAGTAACATCAATTATTCAAAAACTCAGAAGCAGAGGAGGAGGGAACACTTTTTAAATTACTCAATAAGGCAAGTATTACTCTGATACCAAAGCCAGCCTCTCACAAGAACACTACAGACCAATATCTCTAATGAATGTGGGTGCAAAACTCTTTTAACAAAATGCTAGCAAACCAAATCAAACTATATAGAAAGGATCATATACATCGTAATGTAACAGAATTTATTGCAGGAACACAAGGCTGGTTTAACGTCTAAAAATCAATAAAGTAATATAGTATATGGGCTTCCCTGTTGGCTCAGTGGTAAAGAATCCGCCTGCCAGTGCAGAAGACCTGGGTTCCATCCCTGGGTGGGGAAGATCCCCTGGAGAAGAAAATGGCAACCCATCCTAGTATTCTTGCCTGGGAAATCCTATGGATGTGGACAAAGGAGTCTGGCAGGCTACAGTCCATGGGGTTGCAAAGAGTTGGACACAACTTAGCAACTAAACAACAATATACTATATTAATAAAGAACAATATGATCATCTTAGTAGACAGACAAAAAGCATTTGGCAAAATCTAATACCCATTCATGATAAAAACTCTTAATAAACAAGGAATAGAAAGGAATTTCCTCTATCTTATAAAGGGCATCTACAAAAATCCCAGAGTTAATATCATACTTAATGAAAGACTGGATATTTTCACCCTAATATCCAGAATGAGGCAAGGATGTCTGCTTTTGTTACTTTTAAACATTGTACTGAAGGTTCTAACTAATTCAATAAGCAATAAACAAATAAATGGATCCAAATGAGAAATGAAATTAAGCTATATTTATTTGCAGATAACAAGAATGTATGCATATATGTAGAAAATCCTGAGGAATCCATGAAAACTACTACAGCTAATAAACAATACACAAAAATTGACTGTATTTCTATATACTTACTTTCTTTTTTTTTTTTTAAAGTATCAAATTCATTTCAACATCTAGTTTCATTTTTAAATTAAAGCTATTGGACAATTTTTTGCAATTTAAAATTCATTATTAGAGGTGAGGAAAACATTAATAAGCCATTAATTATTGAAAAAATTATCAACCATGCATTTAAAAATGCCATGTTAAAGAGGAAAAAGTTCCAACTATACTATTTAACTGAAGGAAATATCCTTTACCCCTTTATTTTGAACATTCTCATTTTGACATAATTTACACCTTTTTCACACAGTTAATACAATGCAAACAAAATTTTTCCAAATGTTAAGACTTTTGTTACCCTTTATGACACATGACATAACTGTAACTCTTTAAAAGTTCCTTAAAAGAAAGTTGAAATTTTAATTTTCACCATGAACCTGTCTGATCAAAAAGTAAAGGACATCACCACCACATGAATTAAAACAAAGAATAGAATAAAAAACAAAAGTGGTATCTATATAATCAGCAAATTATCTGATAAGACATGTTAGCTACTTCACATTTCTACTTAGCACAAGTGAGAATAAACTGGTTCCAAGGTACTACAGGTTTGGCATTTTTGCTCTTAAGCTTTAAATCATAGTGTTACTCTACTCAAGTCATCTCTAAGAAAATGGCAGTGTTCATAAGTAGAAAAATGATTATATCCAGTAGGTGGTATTCTACATAATCAAGATAACAAGAAAATTCTTTATAAAATTAGATTTTTTAAAATGCAGACTATCTGGTAATTACCAGTATCTCAAAAGCTAAAGTAAGAAAAATACAGAAAATAGAGAAGTACTCATTGAATAATATTATTTTGCTTTGAGGAAACCAGAAATGATTCTATTCCAAGAAATAATAACGATAAGAGATGTAATTAATACACCATGTATCTTTTAAGCCAAACCACGCTTTTCTGCTCGGAACAACTCTTGATTTTTACATTCTTAATCTCCTCTGTCCAGAAGAGGACCACATTTTAAGCCATTATTTGAATAGAGTTCATAATCTAAAGTCACTTTTCTTCACAGGATGTTTTCATTTTAGTATTCATACATAAGCTGCAAAAAGGCAAATGAAAGTCAGTTAAAAGAATCTGTAGCATAATACATGCCCATTTACAGTAACTGTCAACAGACTTCTATACCGAAGCCGAAAAGCTGCTACAGTACAGGTGAGAAGTGACATGATTCTTCCATAGACTCAGACTTCGTTTAGTAATACTGTCATAAGATCCAAAAAGAAACCTTAACGGGTCCTTTCAAAGATGCATAATTTTCCGAACAATTTTCCTCTGGACACACAGCCTGTTCATTCCGTCAATCCTTTTTTAGTCGTTTAGCTTTTGCAATATTTTCTTGACGTTTTTGTTTCTTCTTTTGCTCCTTTTCCCTGGCCTCAATCATCTTGGCCAGTTTCCAAGACAGCACAGCGCTTGCTAGGAACAATGGAGTCAGAGCCAGAATAACTGTCGTAAGGAAGCCGTACGGGTCCTTTGCAGCCCACTCCATGACATACTCAGCCCAGGGCTTTAGGTCAAACATCTTCCCGGAGGCCTTATGCTTAAGTAGTGATCTCTAATTTTGTCCTGGGATTATCAGCCAGTCACAATTTCAGATGACCTTTGGTTAGCTGTCTTCTTCTTTAACTCTACCAATACACTTCTGAGAGAAGGCTTAAATTCTATATACTCCCGTGCACCTCAATTTCGGACCCTAGGTGTAAGCGCCCTCCACACTTTAAGGAATAAATATTCTTCTTCTTCCTTCCAAAAAGGATCCACCAGGCATGATCTTCGGATCAGACCCGCACGGCGCCTGAAGGTGAGGGCACCTCACAGCCACCCGCACTGTCCTTTCCTGTGTTTTCCCCTCGCTCACCCTTCATCACCCTACCCGGTGGCCCGCCGCTGGGGCCGCGCTTCCCCGACCCTCCGCCTCCGCGAGCACGGGCCCGGCGGGGCTCGAACAGCCGGCGGTCCCCAGGAATCAGAGGTCATCCCCGCCACACCCTGGGCCGCCGGCGCGTGGCCACCTCCGCTGGGGCAAAACCGCGGCACGGACCGCCACCCGCCTCCCCTACATCTCGCCCTCTATATACTTTCAATAAGTGATACAAAATTAAGACAACACAATTCCATTCACAATGATATCAGCAATCAATTACTTAGGAATATATTGAACAAAAGAAGAGCAGAACTTATAAACTGAAAGCTGCAAACGTTGTTAAGGGAAATTAGATTGATATAAATGGAAAGACTTTGTATACATATGTACTGAAAGACTCAATATTGTTAAGATGGCAGTTTTCCCCAAATTGATGTATAAATTCTACCTGTCCTTATCAAAATTCCAGCAGGTTTGTTTGTTTGTTTTACAGAAATTGGCAAGTTGATCCTAAAATTTACATGGAAATGCAAAGGAATTTGGCATCTGGAATTGGCTATTCCAAAACAATTTGAAAAAGAGCAAAATTGGAAGGTTTACAGCACCCAATTTCAAAAATTAAAATTCAGAAGTTTCAAAAAATTTACTATAAACCTTCATTTATCAAGACATTGTGGTATTGGCACAAGAATAGGCAAACAGATCAATGGAACAGAACTGAGAAGCCAGAAATAAATTCTTATGTTTATGGTCCAATGCCACGACAATTCAATGTGGGAAGGATAGTCTTTTAACAAATGGTACTAGAACAGTTATAACATCCACATGCCAAAAAAAAAAAAAAAATTACTTAAAAATGTACCCTTACCTGACATCATACAAAAATATTAACTCAAAAGAGATCAAAGACCTACATGTAAGAGCTAAGTCTAGGGACTTCCCTGGTGGTCCAGTGGTTAAGACTCCATGTTTCAAATGGCAGGGGCTCAGATTCAACCCTTGGCTGGGGAACTTAGATCCCACATGCCACGTGATGTAGCCAAAAAAAAATTTTTTTTTAAATGAAGTCTATACAACTTCTTGAAGAAAATATAGGATGACACCTTTGTGACTTTGGCTTGAACAAAATTTTTAGATACACCACCAAAAGTCAAATCTATTAAAGAAAACATTGATAAACTGCTCTTCATCAAAATGAAGCAGTTTTGCTCCTTAGAAAACATCATTAAGAAAATGAAAAGACAACTCACAGACTGGGAAAAAATATTTACAAGTCATATTCTGATAAAGGACTTGTATCCAGAATATGCAAAGAGCTCTTACAACTCAATGAGAAAAAAAAATTAAAAATAAGCAAAAGATTTGAATAGAAATTTCACCAAGAAGATATGTAAATGGTTAACAAGTCTTTGAAAAGTTCCTTGACAGGAAATCCTAATTAAAAACACAACATATCCCCTAGAATGGCTTTAATTAAGATAATACCATTGTTGGTGAAGATGTGGAAAAAGTGAAACCCTCTCACATTCCTGGTGGAAATGTAAATGGTACAGTCATTTTGGAAAAAGGTTTGCCTGTTTAAACATAAACTTAACATATGACTCAGCAATTCCAAATTCTTGGAATCTACCCACAACAAAAGAAAACATACCCTAACATGCTGCTGCTGCTAAGTCACTTCAGTCGTGTCTGACTCCATGCAACCCCATGGACGGCAGCCCACCAGGCTCCCCCGTCCCTGGGATTCTCCAGGCAAGGACAGTGGAGTGGGTTGCCATTTCCTTCTCCAATGCATGAAAGTGAAAAGTGAAAGCGAAGTCGCTCAGTCATGTCCGACTCTTAGCGACCCCATGGACTGTAGCCTACCAGGCTCCTCCATCCATGGGATTTTTCAGGCAAGAGTACTGGAGTGGGGTGCCATTGCCTTCTCCAACCCTAACATACATCTATACAAAAACTTGTACACAAATGTTCACAGCAGCATTATTCATAATAGGCCCAAACTGGAAATAATCCAAAGGTTTCCCAGGTGCAGCAGTAAAGAATCCTCCTGCTGATACAGGAGATGCAGATTCAATCCGTGGGCCAGGAAGATCCCCTAGAGGAGGAAAGAGCAACCCACTCCAGTATTCTTGCCTGGAAAATTCCATGGACAGCGGAGCCTGATGGGATGCAGTCCATGGAGTCTCAAAAAGTTGGACAGGACTGAGCACGTATGCAAGAAAATGACCCAAATGTCCATCAACTGGTGACTAGACAAAATGTGGTATATCCATGCAGTGGAATACTATTCAGCAATAAAAGGAAGAAATTACTGATAATCTGTGACTCTAACATAAGAGTTGGCCTCATGCTATGATATGAATGAACTTGAAAAACCTTATGTTAAGTGAAAGAAGCCCGACACTATATATTATAGGATTCCATGTATATGAAATGTTTCAGAAATATGAGCAGAGTTTGAAGACAGATCAGTGGTTGCCTAGGGCAGAAAGTAGGAACACAATGACTGCAAATAGGCATGAGGGAATTTTTTAGGGTGATAGATATTGTGGTGATGGTTGCAGAACTCTATACATTTACTGAAATTGCTGAACTGTACACTTGGGTGAATCTTAATCAATAAAGTGATTAGCAAAGGCCTAAGGCAGGGATGGCCCTCCCAGGGAGGGCCCACATCAGCTTACCAAAGCTCCACAGCTCACTCGGGCCTTGGCTGGAGGAGGCCAGAGTGTCCACTTACCTGTGAGTCTCCTGAGGGGCTGCAGCTACTCTTGGGTACCAGGCAGTGAGTGACAAGGATCCTGGGGTCTTTGGTGGTGATGGACAGGCCCTTCTGCAGAATTTGAATGAGCCGGATCCAGAAGTGGAAGACAGTCTCAGGATGGTCAGGGTGGAGTTTCAGATAGTATATCTTCTCTGTGACTGTCCTCAACCGCAAGACACGTTGAAGGCGGTCAGAGACCTGGAGCTCCACAAACTTCAATGGGAGAATCCTGAGGCTCAAGGGAAGACCCACATTGACAACCCCACATTGACAACACACATGGTCCAACCCTGTCTTCATTAAAATGAAGAGTGTCTCTTTTAGGACCAAGGCTTTGGGGGTGGGTAGGAGAGTGAATCGGAGAAGGCAATAGCAAACCACTCCAGTACTCTTGCCTGGAAACTCCCATGGACGGAGGCGCCTGTAGGCTGCAGTCCATGGGGTCGCTAAGAGTCGGACATGACTGAGTGACTTCACTTTCACTTTTCACTTTCACACATTGGAGAAGGAAATGGCAACCCACTCCAGTGTTCTTGCCTGGAGAATCCCAGGGATGGCGGAGCCTGGTGGGCTGCCGTCTATGGGGTCGCACAGAGTCGGACATGACTGAGGTGACTTAGCAGCAGCAGTAGCAGGAGAGTGAATGATTAGCACAGTGGTTCTCAAACTTTAGGGAGATCAGATTCACCTGGGGAGCTTGGTTAAAATGCAGACACCTGAAGATACCCCCAAAGATTCAGATTCAGTAGGTCTGGGGTGGGGCCCTGGAATCTGCATTTTAACCTCCACCTATCCTGCCACGATTCTTATGCTGGTGTTCCCTGAATCCTGCTTGAGAGGGGCAGCCTGGGAGTAAGGTAGCTGGGATCATAGGGATTTTTAATTTTCTTCTTGATAGAACAACGGGAGCTGGGTCCCACTGTCCAGCTTGTCCCATTCATTGACCTTAAGGCCTCAATTACTCTTCCCAAAGGAGCTAAAGTTCAGGGAGCTTGCTTTGGATCTGGGATTAGTCAGCTGAACTGAGATGCACTTGCTGTAGGGGCTGCTTAGAACGTAATGGAGAGGTTTATTATTGAAGCAACATGGAGCAATGAAAGGTTAACTTGGGCTTCTGGGAATATCTAGAGATTCTTGAGATATCCTGCAAATTACCTGGAGAGGCTCAAGCATCTAAAAGGGCCACTGCACACTGCTGTATTCAAAATGGATAACCAGCAAGGGTATAGCACATAGAACTATATTCAGTGTTATGTGCCAGCCTGGACAGGAGGAGGATATAGGGGGAGAATGGATACAAGTATATGTATGGCTGAGTCACTTTGCTCTTCACCTGAAACTACCACAACATTGTTAATCAGCTATACCCCCATACAAAATAAAAAGTTGGAAATCTGAAAAAAATAAATAAATAAAAGGGCCATTGCATCCTGGACAAGCATAATATTACAGATCCAAGTAAGACTTCATTCAATTCACTTTGCCAGTAGGAATACTGAAATGCATCAAGTAACTTGGGACTCAAATATTGTTTTGAGTCTAGTCAGTTGCATAAGGTTTAGAACCTGCATCTCCCAACCAATGCTTCATCTCCTAGACCCCTTGGCTTCCTTGTCCCTTGCCCCAAAATAGAGAGACTTCCTAGGAATTCAGTGCAGTGAATGCAACAAGAAGGGAAGTAGGGATTTAGACTGGCCCTCCTTTCTGTCCATGTTACGCACCTCCCCCTTTGCCCCACTTCAGGATGCTCACCTCTTCAGGTTGATCTTGGGGGCTGTGGATGGTTTGTTCCATGTCTGGTTCTGCCCATGGTGCCATTTGACACTGGCCATGAGGAGGATGTTGGGAAGAGGCAGGCAGGGCACGGAGGAGGTCACCCCCAGGGCCATGGTGTTGGAGGCTTTGTAGATGTCTCTCCAGTTCCTGCCCTTTCTGACCTGCAAAGCAGTCCCCCAGGCACAGTCTGAGCATTTGGCAGGAGCAGCAGCACGTTTCACATGAGAGCTTCTCAAACACGGCACTGTTCACATTTGGGGCTGGATAATTCTTTGTTTGGGGGGGAGCGGGCTTGCCTGTGTGCTATAGGTGTTTAGCAGCATCCATGGCCTCTGCCCAATAGATGCGGATAGCAGTGACCACCCCACCCCCACCCCCAAATTATGCTTCATTCAGACATGGCCAATGGCTTCAGACTTGGCTCCACCACTGGTGGGGGCAAAGTCATCACTTGTTTGGAACCACAGTTAAACCTATATTGGTTAAACAACTGTAACAGTATTTACTTTGCCTATTGTGGGTTGACCAAAAAAGTTCATTTGGGTTTTTTAAGCTGATGTGGAAAAATTGAATGAACTTTTTGACCAACCCAATATTAGCAATTGCCCACAAGAGTTCCATGACATGTGTCACACTTCCATGAATCCTCCCCAGACTATTTCCCGGCTTTTATTTTAAAACCTGTCCTTTGGTACTTTCTTGAGGGGCCCTATTATCTCCTGTATCTTTTTTTTCACTGTCAGGCCCCTGTAACCCCCAAGTGCTGCTTATTCTGGGTCCCATCTGGCCTAAGGGGAGCGCAGGCAAGGAAACAAAATGCACCGAGTGCTCCTGTAGTGGGGCCTTTGCTTCCCATGTTTCATGGAACAGCCAGGTCAGTCCCACCTCCTTTACAACAGAGAAAACTGGTGTGCAGGTCACCTGCACCATGACATCTTCTGATGAGAAAAAAGTAGACCAGACTCTGAGCCTAGATCTCTCTGGGTGCCCGACTTCTATTCTTTGACCCATCAGCATTTCTGTTCCAAACCCCTAAATAGCATCTCATTTGACTGCCTCTTTGTTCATCTGCTTTGAACTGACAGCCTGGAGGCTAAAGTGAACTAAGGGATTCAGAGATCAAACCCTCCATTCAGAGCAGAGAACCCTTGACCTCTCTCCCCAGAGTGACTGCAGAAGAAAGCCTATCTGGGGCTCTGCAACGTCAGGGTCAGGTGTGGGTAGCCTTGCCTTCGGTTCCTCTCTTTGCCTCAGTTGTCACTCCACTCCAGTTCCGGGGACAGACTCTCCATCACATTGTGGGAAGAGATTTAGAGGAATCAAGGAGTGCCATTCGGAGCAGCCCAAGAGTACCTGGACAAAGTTGCTTTCAAACACCACTGATTCAGGAAACAGGTTGAATTCTGGAGAATGAACCATCTGGCAGAGCAGTCCCTCCTCCACACCCAGGCCCACTCCAGGATTTGGTTCCCCATCCACAGGAAAGAGGCCCCTGAATTCTTCCCAGGCATTCAGGGAAGGGAAGGTTGGATAGGATCTTGTGACTTTTGCTGTCTTCTTCGATTTGTTCCAAGTCTTTCTATGTGGAACTGATGACATTTCCGCACATACTCAGGGGCCTGCTGCGCGTTTGTCCTGGGTCCTCTTTCTTCCCTCCTGGCCTTGGGCAGCCAGCCAAGGCCTGGGGCCGCCAATCAGCTCACAATGATGAATGGATGACATCATGAAAAACCAGGGCAGGCCTGTGGGAAAGGGAAATGTAGAGGAGCCTCCCTTTTCCTCCAGAGTGCTTTCACAGCTTGCTGAATGCCCTGACAGGCCCCAGCCCCCTCGGGGCCTGAGGACACAGCTCCCCTAGAACTTGCTGACCCAGGCACAAAGCAGAGAAGGAAGGCTGTTTAGGAAGCTCCTTCCGCTGTTAAGAGGAAAGTCCCCTCCCTGCCTTTCAAGCCTCCCTTACTCCAAATGTGACCTACCCCCAAAGAGTTTTAAGGGTGGTGGTTGATTTAAAACAGGTTTCCTGAGCTCTGTACCATGTGGGCCCCATGTGCCCTGGTCTATCTGCAGTAGCCTCTGCTGGTTCTGGGAGAAGCTGCAGGACTGTAGGTGCCTGCTCTATACTTTGCTACCACTGGCTGGCTACTTCTGCAGGGCTAATTTCCCTAAGGAAGTCGAACTGAAGAACAGTAGGAATAAGTGGTTTCTTACCCAGAGGCTGGCTGGGTGGGGGTGCCAGCTGAGAGGAACAGAATCTCAATGAGCTGCTCTGCTAGATCAACACAGCCTGCTTCTTCTCAGAGCGTGAGTCTGCCTCATCCCTGAGCTAGAGGAAAAAAGAGCCCAGATCTTGGGGCAGCTAGATGAGAGGCAAAGAACCCAGCAGACTGACCACCGCTCCTACTGACCACTACCACTATTTCAGGGAGAAATCCTATTCTAGTTTGAACAAAATTCCAGACTCTATTAACCACCAAGGTAAATTCCCCCATCAAGGTCAAATGCAATCAATTTAGAAAAGCAATATGACAACCAAAATATGCACAGTACAAGCAGGGAGGTTTATTTCTGTATTTCATTATCAAGTCAGGGAGAAGGCTGAAAGGTCACGAGGCTTTCCTTTGCTGATTCCATCACCCCCCTCTCTGGTTGTTTCTATTATGCTCCGGCTCTATAGATAGCTCTCTCGTGGGCACAACTTCTACCCTCACGTTCCTTGTTTTCCTTTGTCTCCCATCTGGGGAAATGTCTTCTATGGTAACATTCTCTAGGGATGGAGTCAGAGACCACATCCTGTGGTTTCCATTTCCCTGGAAACAACACACAGTAAAAAAGTGATGATAATTAATACACTGATGCTTTTCACAGCTAAAGCTTCCATGCTGCAGTAAAGCTTAGATGTATGGTTTGGATATATTTGACCATTGGGTCTCTAGTAATAGAGTGTCTGGTTTTTAGTTGGCACAGGTGTGTGGAATAAAGATTGTGTTTCCTGGCCCCTCTCTCAGCTAGCAAGGCTATAGGGCAAAAATGATGCAAGTTCAAGAGCTGGATGAAATTTCTGTGAGGAATCATCATGGAAAAGGGGCATGCTCTTTTTCACTCCTTATTTTTCCCTTCAGACTAGAATATAGACTTGATGGCTGGACCTTAAGCAACCCTACTGAGCCATGAATTGGCATGCTAAGGATGGTAGCATAGCAAGATAAAAGGGCTCCAGTTCCTTGAGGATCATAAAATTATACTAGTCCTGGACTTTTACCTTGAAGTTCTTCTAAGTATGAAAGAAATAAAGGTTTCTTTGATTTTGAGTCAGGCTTAAAACTAGCTGATAGAACTATATAAAATGCCTATATACTCCTCTGGACTAATTTTACAGGAAGTTATGATATTATTTACCAATAATTCTAAGTAATGGAGAAAATAGGCTTAACTTTACAATAAAATTGGACCTTAAGAATGACAAACAAGTAACTTTTGGAAAAAGTTGTTTAATATATATTCTAGTAACAGTCACTGGTTTTGTTTTTATGTGTATACACTGTTGATGTTGTGACAATTATTGACTTTTGCACATTTACTGATGAGCACTTCAGTGAGAGTTTCCTTGAGTATGTTGATTGTCCTTTGGTTTGAGGTTAAAGTCACCTTGTCAGGGTTAGGTATCATTTCAAAAGCTTTCTCAAGAATGACTAGGATATCTGGTTGTCAGTTGAGGCTAGGCCCAGGTTTAGTGGAGTTTAAAGCTTATACAGTTTTGGAGACTCTTAAAAATAAAAAGACTGGAGAGAGGGGTGAGTCACGAGTTATTGTTTAATGGGTACAGAGTTTGAGTTTGGAAAGATGACCAAGCCTTGGAGATGAGTGGTGATGATATTTTTACAACAATGTGAATGTATGTACTACCACTGAACTGTAAACCTAAAGATGGTTAAAAGAGTGAACTTTTCATTATGTGTCTTTTATCACAATTTAAAAATGCTAGAAAAATAAAAAATGAACTTTTAAAATCCTATAAAAGTATAGTACAAAATTGCTAGAGGGATGTCCTCCTAGACCTTGGAAGGGCACATGAGAAACTTTATTATCTTTAAAAGCTTTTAAAAGCTTTAAAAGCTTTTAAGCTTTATTATCTTCATGGTAAATATTTTAAATATAAAAGTAAAGTGCTAGTTACTTAGTCATGTTTGACTCTTTGTGACCTCATGGGCTATAGCCTGCCAGGCTCCTCTATCCATGGAATTCTCCAGGTAAGAATACTGGAGTGAGTAGCCGTTCCCTTCTCCAATTTTAAATATGTGTCACTATTAAAAAAAAAACTGTATTACATAAAAAGTATATATACTTGTAGAATATTAGAAAATACAGACAAGCTTAAAAACAAATAACATATTCCTACCACCCAGAGAACATCACTCACTGTAACAGCTACCTATGTGTGTACTAAAATGAGATCATACTGTAAAAATGGTTTTATAACATTTTTACACCTGTTTTGTTTAGGCAACACTTTCTAACTTTGTATTTTAGTTATTTTATCTCATTTAATTTCCAGACCATTAAAAATTTTTCCCAATTATTCTTAGCTGGTTTATCCATATCAGTCTCCAGTCAAGGATCATAATACCTGTTAAGCTTAATCTCATCCAGTCCCTTTTTTAGAACACTTACTGGTGGAAGCAATTGAGTCAGTTGTCCTACAGAATGTCCCCCTTCTATATTTCTCTGGTTTTCCCTTGTGTTAGCTTGCTTCTCTAGCTACTATATTTCCTGTGAAATAGAAGTTATAATCTCAAGGGCAGATGGATTCAAGTAGTAGTCACTATTTCTTAGTAAAGAGCTACCATGGGATCTACGTGAGACACTATTCTCCTCTCCCAAAGAATGTCAGTAGAAAAATACATATAAAGAATACACATCAGAAGAAAAATGATGTCAGAAAATAGAATAAATTCTTTGAAAAGTATCACTCTAACTGAATACAATATGAGACCCTATGGAACAAAATTTCAGAGATACCAAAATTAGATGAAAAGAAGACTTGGAAAGGTAAGGAAAGAAATAGAAGAAAAACACACTAAATATCTGAAAGTCACATTAGAAACCACAAGAAGTAGAGTTGCTATAACAGAAAAGTGAGTCAGTGCCATGGATAACAGGTGTGAGAATATCACACAGACACAAAAAAGAAGTACAAAGAGATGAAATTATTAGAAAGAAAGTGATAACTGTGAGATGTTTATATTGATCAAACATACAGCTAGAGTCCTGATGAAGAGGGAACAAACGAAATTGAAAAAGTAGTCACAAGCATAAAAGAAAAGCCATTTCTGAAACAAAAAGACTCAGCTTGGCAAATGAACAGAATTTCCTATAGTCCACCAAATTAAGTAAAGAAACCATTGAAATCAGAATAGCTCTTGTGAAGTTCCTAAATCTTAGGGATAACAAAAGCTTCCTACTATTAACATCCCAGCAGAAGCAGCAGACCATCTACCAAGAGGAATAAAATGAGACTGACCTTGGACTTCTTTTCAGCAGTTTTAGATGGCATAGGATAATGGAACAATGTAGAAAGAATGTTGAGGAGGAAAGGATGTGACTCAACAATTCCATAAATGGCTAGAAATTAATTCAAGTGTAAAGGTTGCAAAAATAATCTTAAAACTTCTAAGCACACTAGAATAAGGGAAACCATAAGCTGATTCTTTGAAAAAAAAAATTAGATGAACTACTAGCTAACAGTTTAAATTTTTAAAAGGAAGATAGAAATCATAAAACTTGAACTAAGAAAACACAAATAAGTATAAGTAAGAAGGACAGGCTCCTGGGTAATGGCAGTAACATGAAGCTTAGGGCATAAAATAGGTAGTCAGAAGACCCCAAAACACAGTGACTTAAACTAAGTAGAATTTTGATTCTCTCTTACATAGTAGTCCAAAGGAATGTAGTCTACAGCTGGTAGAGTATCTCTGCCATTCTCAACAGGTGACTTCCATCTCTGAATTCCAAGGTGACTGCTTCAGCTCCTGCCATCATGTTTGCATACTGGCCATTGAGAAGGGGAAGAGAAAAGGGGAGTGTACACTCATTCCTTTTAAGGGCAAGACCTGAAAATGACATAATCACTTTTGCTCACATCCCATTGGTTGGAATTCAGTCACATGACCACACCCAGCTACAAGGGAAGCTGAGAAATGTAGATTTTTTTAGCTGAGTGGATGTGAGTCCATGTACAACTGGAAAGTTCTATTACTTATTATTTAAAGATGAAGGATATTGATGGATTATCAGCAACCTCTGCAAAGAAGCCATGTCACAGAATTACTCCCTCTGACACTCACAGTAAATACATAATATTTTTTAATAGCAAAATTTTAACTATTGACAGTCTAACCAGGAAAGAGGTTAAATGGTGGTCAAAGGATAGGGAAAACATAAAATCTGGGTATGGCCTGATAATAAAGAAAGCAAGTAAATGTAATTGTGTGTGTTCTCACAGATTATCTGCCACCCCCAACAGGAGAGAGACAACCAGAGAGATGAGTAATAAGCTTAGGGGACACAGCAATAAGGAAAATCTTCAAGAGTAGAAGCCCTTA